AGCCACCTTCCCAGCCCCACTTGTACTGTTTTAATTAAGTGAAATGGTTTTCCCCTCCATCAGTCTCCTGTTTTGATCTTGAATTTATCTCTGTACAAATAGATAACTCCTGAGAATGATGCACAGGAGATCCAGTCTGGTGTGTCTTTTTTCTTTTTTTTTCTTCTCAGCAAAACCAAAGAGCGACTTGTTCCTTGTGCTGTGATTCGTGTTAGGAAACTGGGAGCTCATTTTGTCACCCACTTTCTCAAGGTATTTTGGTATAAGATTGCTTTTAGGGTTGCTATGAAGGAAAAGCTAATTCGTATTTCATAATAATAGATTACTAATTATCAAATTAGATTATAACTGACTTTCCCAGCATTAACAGACTTTGTTACTGGCAGTAACGGTATTGCTCCAGACACCTTTTCAGAGTACAGTAAAGTCCCAGTTCTAACTACTGTGAAACTATGGTGTCATCTAGAACAACCATCAAAAAAAAGCTGTTTACAAAGGTCTTAATTTTTAGCTTTTTTTTTTTTTTTTGGTCAGTTGTAGGGCTTGAACTCTGGACATGGGCGCTGTCCCTGAGCTCTTCAGCTCGAGGTTAGTCTACCACTTGAGCTACAGTGCCACTTTGGCTTTTTCTGCATATGTGGTGCTGAGGAATCGAACCCAGGGCCTCATGCATGCAAGGCAAGCGCTCTACCACTGAGCCACCTTCCCAGCCCTTAGTTTTTAACTTATAATGTTTTGTTTTTAGTCTTTGTTTTAGTGAGTTACACCCTTAGATTAGATTTTTTTCCAGACTTTTTACAAGGTTCTTGATTGCCTTAGAAAAGTATCCATATTAATGCAATGACTTGCCAGTTTTGCTCAGAATGTTTTCAGAAGGGAGTGGAAAAAGCTCCTCCGACCCTCTATCTTTCCCCAACTTTGTGTGCGTGTGTGTGTGTGTGTGTGTGTGTGTGTGTGTTGTCGGGCCTGGGGCCTGAACTCTGGGCCTGGGCCCTGTCCCTCAGCTCTTCAGCTCAAGGCTAGTAGTGCTCTACCACTGGAGCCACAGTGCCAATCACGGCTTTTTTCTTCTTGTGTGGTGTTAAGCAATGGAACCCAGGCCTCATGCATGCGAGGCAAGCGCTCTGCCACTGAGCCACCTTCCCAGGCCCCAAGTCCCCAACTTTTAAAAAATTAAAACGGTGAGATAAAGTGACACTTGAGCCTCTGGAGCCTTTCCTGTATCAGAGGTGAGACGGCAGCTGGCGCAGCTGTGGTCCATTTCTCACTGAGAAAGTCCTGAGCCACTTCTGCCCAAGTTGGGCCAAATGACCTTGCCAAGCGGTAGGCAGGCCTTAGGCAAGGGGTGGGAGAAGGGCAGTGGCCAGGATTGGACAGCAGCAGGGGTGTGGCTTGCCGAAGGCCAGGAGTTCTTTGTCGGTGCAGCCATGGCCGCCGCTCGGGCTCGGGTGACACACTTGCTGAGGCTTCTGCAGAGCACAGCGTGAGTGCGGGCAGTGGGCGGGCGGGGACCCAAGATGCTGATGCCCGGCTTACACTCCACCTGGGCTGCGCAGCCTTCCATAAGAAAGCAGGTACTGCAGTGTTTGCTAGGGACATAGCTTATCATATGCCTCGTAATGGGACAAGTTTTACTCTTCTCCATCTCCCATGAAGGAAACTGACCATTGGAGAAGACAAGGCCTGGTGGCATACGGTGACAGTACAGAACTGGGCACAACAGCCCGGACATATGTATCCAAGTGACACATTTATTGGAAAGATAGTTAGGCTGGAAACTACTTTTTTTTGTTTCTCAGTATACATCAATGAAAGGCTTAGGAGCCAGTCTAGCTGATCAGATGAGGGAAGAGATATAAAATCAGCCTGCTACAGATTCCTGCAGATCACTGCAGATAGACCAGAAAGGAAGAATCCACAAGAAGTTAAGACAAATATTTTTTGAATTGTTGCACAGGAAGGGAGTGTCGTATGAGTAGAATTATGTCAGACCACACTGGGAACAGGGTGGAGAGAGCAGAGGCCTGTGGCAAGACTTGAGGGCAGTTTGGATGGTAGGGGGAGGGGAGGGTAAGGTTGTGGATCACAGAGAAATGAAAGAAAAGTTACCTAGTAGGAAAGGGAAGGGAAGTACATTCCAAACAAGGAAATAAAAACACGTTTCTGCAACCAGGAGGGAAGAAAAAGGATTACTGAAGGAAAAGAATTTTTTTTTTCCCCAAAGCTAAAACCCAGAGATGAAGCAAGATGAGAATAGCAGGACCTGTTGAACGGGCTCAGTCCGAACTTTATTTGCCATGGAAGCAAATACAGGCAAAGAAGAGACATTCAAAATAGCCCTGATCACACCAGAATGAAGGTGACAGGAGAAGCCGCTTAGGAAGTGAGTGGAAACCTAGGTGAGGAGGCAACAGAGCCAGAGGAGCAAGGACCCAAAGAAAAGTGAGTTCAAAAGAAATATCTGCAGCCTTGGCGCATGGTAGAGTAAAGAGTAAGGACAAAGGAAGGGTCAGCAGGGCTGAGGGCAGCTGAGAACAGAATCTAATAGTGAAGGAATGGGCAGAGTGGAGAAGGAGGCAGAGAAAGAACAATGAAGGCAAGGCCCCAGAGGCTCACACCTGTAACCCTAGCTTCTCAGAAGGCTGAGGTCTGAGGATCAAAGTTCAAAGACCCAGCTAGTGCAGACAAAATCCATAAGATTCTTACCTCCAATTCACCACTAAAGAGCCAGAAGTGGAGATACATCTCAAGTGCTGGTGCACTAACCTTGAGCAAAAAAAAAGCTAAAGGACAGCACGAAGCTTCTGAGATTGCCAAGATCCTAAATTCAAGCCCCCTGTACTAGAAAAGGAAGGAAGGAAGTGAGGGAGGAAAAAAGAGAAAGAAAAACAAAGAAAAGAAAGAAAGAGAAAAAGAAGGAAAGGAAAGAAGGAAGGAGCAAGGGAGGGAGGAAGATAGGAAGGGAGTTCAAAAGGAAGGGAAGAGAGAAAGAGCAAAAAGAGCAAAACAATGAATAATGAGAGGCAACTAAGATAAGCAGAGAGTCTTACTCTGTTTTACCCACTCAAGAAAAAGGTGGCTAAAATCTAAGGGAGGGTGGCTCAGTGTTCATTGCTACACTCTGAGAGCCAGGTGCTGGAATGTCTAAGAAGTGAGGGTCCCACAAGACAGCTGGGCTTGAGGCACAGTGGCCTGATTCGGGGGCTAAGGAATGTACCGGTGGTAAGGAAATGGAGCCAGCAAATACAGGACAGGAGGGAGGGGATCAGGGTGAACAAGCCTGAGCATTTCAAACATGACACTGTAAGTCTCATAGAGAAGGATGGAGTGAGGATAGAGCACCACTAGGAAATACAATACCCATGGTGGTCCTCAGAAGGCAAGAGGGGACAAGACAGGATCCTCAAGGAGTCCCAGAGCTTGAGAGAGATGCAGGCAAAGGGGTAGGAGGAAGACAGGTGCTGTCAGAAAGTTCAAGTTTTGATATTTTGTTAGGAAAGTATGGCTAGCTCACCTGAGAGGGAACAAGCCTTTGCCTCTTGTGGGTCCAGCCACTAGGTGGCAGCCTTGACTCATGATTGTCTTGACTTCACAAGTCTCAGGAAGTTTGAAGATCTAGAGAACTATTGAGATCCACTTTTTCTTCCTCCACCATTTCCCTTAGATAATTTAATTACAAATTTGAATTTTGGCGGGGTGAGAGGAAAATGAAGTTATGTACTCACTTGAGTAGCTACTGAAACCACACAAGGTTCCTCTGTGCCATAAAAAGAAACGTTGAGCAGAGAAGGAAAAGCCAGGAGAGGAGGGACTGGACTATTCAATAATTAAGACAGCCAGGACAGAGAAGGGAGGATGTTTCCAGAAAGGAAGACGTGGGCAGTCTGTGAGGAAGCCAACTGAGAAGTGAGAACGGATTGTGAGAACGGAACAGATTGTGACTTTTACCCCTGGAGCAGTGATCTGGTGACATCTCAGAACAAAGGGAGTGCATTTAGCCTGGGGCTACGGCCAGAGAGGCCTGTGGGTCCAGAGAGGCCTGGTTAAAGAAAAACTAAACACCTTCAAGAGGCAGGGAAAGTACATAGAAAGTCCCCAGAATGGTGGAAGATGACAGTTAATCACAGGTCAATGTGATTGAATTCCCTAACCTTTAAGAGCTGGGACCTCGGGCTGGGAAGGTGGCTCAGTGGTAGAGCACTTGCCTTGCATGCCTGAGGCCCTAAGTTCAATTCCTCAGCACCACATAAGCAAAAAGAAAAAAGCTGGAAGTGGCGCTGTGTCTCAAGTGGTAGAGCGCTAGCCTTGAGCTGAAGAGCTGAGGGACAGCGCCCAAGCCCAGAGTTCAGGCCCCATGACTGGACCCCCCCCCAAAAAAAAGATCTGGGGCCTCAAGAAACCAGGAATCTAAATGCATTCCCAGAGTGCTTATCTCAGCTCCCCCCACCCCTGCAGGCCTTTACTCCACACTACTCAAATAATCGTGTTTGTGGAGGGGAAAATGATCTTAAAGCTTTGGAAAGACCCTAAGTCAACTCCCTCTGTATCTCTCCCTCCCTTCCTCCTTCTCCCCCTCCCTTCTTCCCTCCCCCCTTTCCCTCCCTCCTTCCCTACCCTTCTTTCTTTTTCTTTCTTTCTTTCCTTCCTTCTTTCTTTCTTTCTTTCTTTCTCTCTCTCTCTCTCTCTCTTTCCAATGCTGAGGTTTGAATTCAAGGCATGGATGTTGCTGTCCCTTAGCTTTTTCACTCAAGGCTTGTGCTCTATCACTTGAGCCATGCCTCTACTTCCAGCTTTTTGCTGGTTAATTGGAGATAACAGTCCCATGGATTTTCGTGCCTGGGCTGGCTTTAACTTAAGAATCTAGGATTATAGTCATGAGCCATTGGCACTGGGCTTCCAAGTTAACTTGTTTTGGGTTTTTGGTTGTTTTTTTTTTTTTTTTTTCGGTTGTGGGGCTTGAACTCTGGACCTGAGTGCTGTCCCTCAGCTCTTTGGCTCAAGGCGAGTGCTCTACCAGTTGAGCCACAGCACCAGTTACAGTTTTTCTGATGGTCTATTTTGGAGAAAATTAGAGTCTCATGGACTTTCCTGCCCAGGCTGGCTTTGAACCGTGTCAACCTCCTAAGTAGCTAGGATTACAGGTGTGAGCCACCGGTGCCTGGCCAAGTCAACTTTTTATCCACTGTGATTTCTGGTTCTTTTCAGTGCGTGGTATTTGCCAAAAGCTACCAGTTCATAGTCTCTTAGGGCTAGAACACAATGTGAGAGTTACTTTAAAGCTTCATGTGTGTGTGCGCGTGCATTTAGTTCCAAATGAATTTATTACTTTTAATTTATCGAGGCTATGATAATGAAACAACACCTCCCCCCATCTTGATTGATACTAATTTGTTGCACAATATTGCAAGGCTTCTCATTTTTTGTGTTCCAGTTTCACATTGTGTTGTCCTGTTTTCTTTTCCCTAGATGCCAGTGTCCAACTCATTCTCATACTTACTCCCAAGGTAATACATTTGGTTTTTTATATCACCACAATTTTTGTTTCTGTAATCAGCAAGTATAATACACGTGGGCCAGTCTTGGAAGAAAAGAAAGAAAATTATTTTCCTTCTTGGAAGAAAAGATTAGATCTAAATAGAGGAGAGGGACAGGAAGGAGGGGGGCCTAACAATAGAGGATCCTAAGCAGAGGACCCCAGGGAAACCTATGGAGAAGAGGAGAGAGGGTAACTAAGAGAACAAAGAAACAAGGCTGCCATGGGGCCTCGCTGGTCACTAACCACTGTGCCTGAGACAAAAGAAGCAGTAATTTTATATTTAGAGGGAATACAATTAACAAAGATAAAATTCACTAGTAGGCCTTCCTTGTTCCAACTACACAGAAAATTGTTTTCACTGTAACTAAAACCTGATACTTTACAGAGAAACAGTTTATTTTAAGGTATTTTTTATTACATTTCATAAAGAAAAGGGTTGGACATATGGCTTAGTATTAAAGCTCCTGCCCTGCAAACATGAGGCCCTGATTCATATCCTAGCATCACACATAAACACACAAACAAAAATTCAGGTTGAAATTTCACAAAGAAAACTAGATTTGGTTTATAAGCGTGTGAAATGTTACTATCTTTTGTGCTTTTTGGGGGGGTGGAGGGGGGAGATATGTGGAGGGCAAGGCTTTGTAGTCTTGCTTATCTTTTCCCTGCTCAAGGCTGGTGCTCTACCGCTTGAGCCAAACCTTGACCTCTGCATTTTGGCAGTTCATTGGAAAAAATAGTCTCACAGATTTTTCTGCCCAGGATGGCTTTGCATCATGATTCTTGGCTTCCTGAGTAGCCAGGATTACAAGTGTGAGCCACCAGCACCCAACATAAAAATATAACTATCTTACTATGCTAAGTCATTTATATGAAAAAGTTAACTTAAATGATCAAAGCAGGACTTTACTTAATTACTAATAGTTGTTCTCAAACAATAATGTGAATCTATAGGACTTTTACACTACATTTTCAAAAGTATTTCTTAATTTCAATGGAGGAAATATTTTCAATCACCTTATTTTCACAAAATCAACATCAAATCACTTTTATATTTTATCTTTAAATGGCTTCAATTTGATGTGCGATCATGAAGCCTGAAAATTTTGGGGGGAGGGGGGTGGTATCGGGTCATGGGGCCTGAACTCTGGGCCTGGGCGCTGTCCCTCAGCTCTTCAGCTCAAGGCTAGCACTCTACCACTTGAGCCACAGCGCCACCTTTGGCTTTTTTCTTTTTTGCTTATGTGGTGCTGAGGAATCAAACCCAGGGCCTCATGCATACAAAGCAAGCACTCTACCACTGAGCCACCTTCCCAATCCCCTGAAAAATATTTTTTAGGCAGCTTTAAGGAATTTATAAGACAAAGAGTGGTGTGGTGAACACTTGCAATTCCAGATACTTGGGAAGACAAAGGTAGAAGGAGAGTGGTCCGAGGCTAGCCAGGAAAAAAAAAAAAAAAAAAAGCAAAAAGGGCTAGGCATCACTCAGATGGTTGACCCTTGCCTAGCAAGCTCAGGCCCTTGCCTTCAAACCCCAGGGCTGCCAAGCAAGAAGGAAGGCAAGACAAGGCAAGGCAAAGCACTTATGTTTATTACTGGTTTTTACTATTCATAAACAATATTTATGTTTATTTTAAGGCCTATGCTAATGTTCATTTCTCTATTTCTAGTTCCTGGACTTTCACCTTCTGGGAAAACAACAGACTATGCCTTTGAGGTAGATTTCACCAATCCACTTTTTCTTTTATGAGTGATCTTAAAAAAATACAAATATAGTATAATGCTAATTGGTGTGCATTTCATTTGAAATCTGTTATTAGCCAATGTTCCATGATCTCTATTTGATTAGGTCCTATTTGTAAGGATAATGGAATATAAATTTTCTGAGAACACAAGTAATATCTAACATAATATCTTCCATCTTCTTTATATTTGGAGGGAATACAGTTAATAACTTCAGGAGAAAATTCCCACAGTGTTGTTATGGTTTGATCTAATTTTAGTAGTACTAACTTTTTAAAGCCCAGAGAGATAAGAGAAATTTCAATCTTAATAAAACTACCTTTGTCCTCAAGAAACCAATGTTAGATTATTGCCTAGAACAGGTCTATTTTTTTAACATTAATAAGAAAAAATTGAGAGAGAAACTTATTCTGTAGGCTTTTATTTATCTTGACTGATTATAAATAACTAGATAAAATATTATTATAGGGTAATTAATTAATATAGGGTAAACTTCCAGTACTATACACTCTCCAAATTATATATGATATATGCTGAATCTTCTGTTATAAGAAATCCCAAAACGGATCAAATTAATCTGTTGAAGCAAGAGTAAAGGAACAATTAATTCTGGTATATTTTTATCACACTGCAATTACATAATTAGTTATAATTATTTGCTTAAATCCCTGCCCCCTCATAAGTCCAGGAGCCATAAATCAAAATGTCATTGAAGGTTATGGCCTCCTCTCAGCCACTGAGGAATATAGCCCCAGTGCTGCTAGATTGTTCCAGAGAGATTGAAAAATAGCAATCATATTAGATATTTTAAATCTTGGTTTTTAAAGAGTTATTGGCATATTTGAAAACAATTTAACTTAACATAGATCAAACAAAACCTATCTTCCATCTGAAAATGACCCATCATCTGTCAGCATGAGATCTTTTCTCTCACCTGTAAATGCCATCTTTCTCTTAGTCTCTTATGCTATCTTACATGCATGCAAGGGTGTTTAGGTGGAGGAAGGGGCAAAAAAAATATATAAATGAAAATAAGAAAATTGAGAGTAAATTTAGATGTGGAGGTAGAGGAAAGCAGGCTTTTGAAGTGAGAGGAACAATTAAGAGTTTATACTCTATTTAGGAAAAGACAAATACAAAATTCCAATGTGATTGAGGCCAAAGTTCTTTACAGCAGTGTGAGGCCAGATGTTAAGTGACATGGGAGTGTATAATATAGTATTTGGACAATGAGGAACCATTTCAGTTTGGGGTTTTTGTTTGTTTGTTTTAGAAATGAAGTGGCCAACTGTCTATTATACCATAGATATTCTTGATGTTTTTCTTTCTTTTTTTAGATGGCTGTTTCAAATATTAGATATGGAGCAGGAGTGACAAAGGAAGTGGGCATGGCAAGTATTTGAGATGTCTGCAATCTTCTACTGTAAATGTTACACACCTTATAAAGCAATTACTAACACACGCAGCAGTGCTACTCACTGGACACTATGTTGAAAACTTGTGGTAGGGGTGTGAGGGGAAAACAGAGTGTGGGAAGGGGTGACATTGTCTAAAAAGAAATGTACTCTTTACCTGACTTATGTAACTATAACCCCTCTGTATATCACCCACCTTTATAATAACAATTTAACCCCCTCCAAAAAAATTACTAATGGACAAAATCAAGCCTTTTCTTTCTTTCTTTTTCTTTCTTTTGTCCATTCTTTCTTCTTTTTGTAGTACTGGTGTTTAAATTCGCGGCTTCCTGCTAATATATATTATCAATATGTAAATCAACTTATATATATTATAAATAGGCAAGAACTCCTGTTTCTGCTTCCCACCACAGGTGGGATGACAGGCTCACACAACCATGGCCAGATTTTTCTGTTGAGATGGGGGTAATTTCATGAACTCCCCCTCCTTCCTCAGGCTGGTATGAAACCAAGATCTTCCCAATCTCAGTCTCCTAAGTAGGTAAAAATACATACATGAGCAACCCATTTAGTGCCAGTACTGGGGCTTGAGCTCAGGGTCTGTGCTGTCCCTTAACTTTTTCATTGAAAGTTGGTGCACTACCCTTGAGCCACAGTTCTACTTCTGGTATTTTAGTGCTTAATTGGAGATAAGAGTCACGCAAACTTGGGCTAGCTTCCAGCCATGATCCTCAGATCTGCTGAGTAGCTAGGATTACAGGTGTGAGCCATTGGCAATGGACTAGCAGCCTTTTATGTTTAAGTATCTGTAATGTTAAGATTATCTGAAGAGTATCACTGTTTTATTTCAGTTTAAACCCAACTTACAAATTATTTGTTATTGTAGGATCTACAGAACATGGGAGCCAAAAATGTTTGTTTGATGACAGACAAGAACCTCTCCCAGCTCCCTCCTGTCCGAATGGTTATGGACTCCCTAGTGAAGAATGGCATCAACTTTCAGGTTTATGATGCCGTGCGAGTAGAACCAACAGACACAAGGTAACTTGGCAGTGTAAGCCAGCACAGCTCATTGTCTTTGCACACTTGACCTAGGTTATATTTAATGGCTTCACAACTGTTTCTGAAAAGTATGACATAAAGCAGGGAGGCTGTGGCTCATGCCTATATGGAAACTCAGGAAGCAGTGGGATCTGAGGATCAAAGTTTTAAGCCAGCTCAGGCAAGAAGGTCCCTGAAACACTTACCTCCAACTATCCACCAAAAAGTCAGAAGTGGAGGCATGACTCAAGTGGTAGATAGATTGGATAGGTAGATAGATAGACAGACAGACAGACAGACGGACGGACGGACAGACAGACAGACAGACAGACAGACAGACAGACAGACAGACAGACAGACAGACAGACAGACAGATAGATAGATAGATAGATAGATAGATAGATAGATAGACAGATGGATAGATAGATAATGTATATTACATAATGGTTCTTTGTTTTCCATCCTCCAAGCTTCATGGATGCAATAGAGTTTGCCAAAAAGGGAGCCTTTGATGCCTATGTTGCTGTGGGTGGTGGCTCTACTATGGACACCTGTAAAGCTGCTAATCTGTATGCATCCAGCCCTCACTCTGAGTTCCTTGATTATGTCAATGCCCCTATTGGGAAAGGAAAGCCTGTGACGGTGTCTCTGAGGCCTCTCATAGCAGGTAAGACACTGCTTTTGTTTCATTTTGCAACTAGTAAAAAAAAAAAAATGACAGTAGGAAAGATGCCAGCTCTCCATTTTAAAGTCTGTATTTCTAAACTTTCTGATTTGTTTGCTTCGACTGTGCACTTTATCTGGAGACCCAAACAGACAGCAGTTTTATTTTAAAATTCTGATCTTCATTATTGCACAGATAGAGGCAATTTGGGTCAGTGAGAGGGAGTGTGCAGAATGAGGCTATTTTGTCCCCCTGTGGAGAAGAGGGGAGACCCCCAGTGACATTTGGTCCATCCCTCTGTGGGCAGGCTTGTCCTCTAAACCCATCTGCTTTGTCCCATTTTCGCCCGCCACTGTGGAGTTAAGAGAATACTCATTGTCATTTTTTCAATGACTCAACCCTTTCCCCAACATAATGGCTCTATAGCTGATCTCAGGCTTTGTCTCTTTCCTGGGACATGTGACCCACAAGGCCACACCAATCTGGATGACATCTGCTCCTTAGCTATCCAAGGCATACACAAATCTATATAGTGTGTGTGTTCCACAGGGGACTTTGAGGTCTTCCAGTCTTTCTTCTGTGCTCATTTGGATGACTGTGGGACTATTCCTCTTCAAAGTTTTATAGCTAAAATGCATGAACTGGTAGTGGGGGAATAGCTTCAGTGAAGTTTTTTCCTCACGTTCCCCCTTTCCTTCCCCTATTGTGAATGGTCCCCCGGAGCTGGTGGCAGGTGAAACGCTTTGACGTAAATGAGGAAGCAGCAGGGAGCAGCAGAATTGGGGGCTGGAGAATAGAGCCCTCTAGGGGAATGTGTCCTCATCACCGAGAGGGGTGATTAGTAAACTTTAGAAATTGGACAGAACTACAAAACCACAGGGTCCAGCCAGGCCAGAGCATTCCTGTGCTGGCTGCCAAGAAGGAATAAAGATGTCTTTTAGGACAGCAAATATGAGTGTTCCTACCAGAGGGTGAGAACAGCCAGCATCTGAATACCTGGCTCAGCTACAGCTGCAGGAGCTGGGGTGCTGGGGGAGCCTGAGGCTCCTACAGTTCACTGCTGCTAATACAGACACAGGGATCACAGATACACAGGTGATCAACACCCGGGCATGTGAACACACACATGCACACTATAGCATGTGTGTGTATCGGCACCAACACAGAGAATATATATTCAACACACAGACGCACTTCATTCATACTGATTCATGTAGGTTTGTGCAGAACAGAGAACATGCACATTAAGCACACATGCATGCTAACCACCTACACAGATTAACACAGACATGGATATTGTACATGTATGTTAACACAGATATAGAGACTGCACATTGAATCCACGTGTGTGTTAATAATGACATGGCACACATTAAACATGCTTGTGTGTTGATGCACACATCAGCACACATGTTAAATATATGCATGCTGATGTAGATAGACACGTCATGTATGCTAATTAATATAACCACAGACCTTGTATATTAATACAAACACAGAACATCCGAAATGCTAATGAAAACACATATCTCATACAAATAAATACAAATACAAGCATGCATGTTATATTTTACATGCATGTTATACAGATGATCAGCCAAGCAGAAAGATCAGCAAAGCTTCTTTCTCTAACTTCTTAACTTCTAAGGCTGAAGAGCTCCGTGACGATTGTTTAAATGCTTTCCTTAAAGTATTATTATTTTGTTCAAGTCCCAACTACCTCAGGAACTGGGAGTGAAACGACGGGGGTGGCCATTTTTGACTATGAACACTTGAAAGTAAAAACGGGTAAGAACTTTGCTCATGATTAACTTTTAATTCTCTCTGTTTCTTTTCATTCCTTTTCTTTCTGTGTGTATGGGGAGGAGAGGATGTAGTTGTTTACCAGGATTTGGACTGAGTTCCCTATACTTACTAAACAGGCACTCTACCTCTTGACCCACACCCCAAGCCCCTGTCCATTTTAGGATTTTTTTAGATGGATCTACATGTTTTTGCCCAAGGCCCATCTCCAAACATGATCCTTCTATTTAGGTCTCTAGAATAGCGGGGATGACAGGCGGCCTCCTCACCTTAGCCCCTCTGCTCTTTTTTTTAATGCTGTCATTTAGAAATCAAGGACTTGTGAAGTTAAGGAAAGAAATATATGTATACAAACCTTTTCTTTCTTTTTCCCAAGTACACAGTGAACGTCTTCTGAAAAAAAAAAACATTCTGAAACACCATGACTCTTAATTGGCCACTCTACTCACATTAGTGACTATATCAATGATAAATACATATTCCTTCTCTCCAGCATCTTATTTTGTTTTTCTTTCTGTTCCTATTGTTTTGAGACAATGTCTTGCTATGTAGCCCAGGCTCTGAACTCACCATGCTCCTGTCCAGGTGTTAGGAGTCCAGATGTAGACCAACATGTCTACGTTCATTATATCTTACATCAACTATATTGAACTGTGATTTTTAATGTAATAAAAATGTACCTGTTTGAAAAGTCTAGTTTAATAAGTTTTGGCAGATATACATGCCTATGTGACCAATACCACAAGAAAGACACTGAACAGTCCCAGCATTCTATAAAGTCGTATCATGATCCCTCTTAGCTAGTTCCTGATCCCCATCTCTCTTCTCCTTTCTGCTTTTTTAGTCACTTGCATCCTATCTTCTCAGCCTCTCATTGGCTCTTGGTTGATTACATAGAAATGTTCGTCTCCTTAAGTCTGCCTTTGTATAGATATTTATAGTAACTTCTTTAAATTAAACTACATGATCCCTGGATAATGTTAAGTATAATAATAGTAGACAACATTTAAATTCTGCCTTACTGTTCTTAAAAGATTTTTATATCTTTATATCATTCAGTCTCGACAACATCTCTGTGAGAGAGGTCTGTGTGTTATTATAGTCTAATGTGGCTCGAAGGTGTAGCACAATGGTAGAGCACTTGCCTAGCATGTGCAAGGGCCTGGGTTCAATCCCATGCAGTGAAATATGGGAGAGAAGTTAATTCTAATGTCAGAGAGATCAAAGTGACTTGTCCAATGACATGAAGTAGGGTATACAATGGGTTCAGTCGTATACTAGTAAACCAGCTCTCTGGAATTTAATAAAAAAAAAAAGCCCTGATTCTCTCTACTTAAACAATGGTGTCACTCTTCTAGAAAGTAAGAAGAAATCATCTATACTTCTCTCTTGGGATCTACTAGGAGCTAGCTTCCAGCATACCACTGGAAAAGCCAGTTTTCTGCTCCAAATCTCTTTCTACTTCTGGCTGCCTAGTTACATAACAATACACCTTGTCTGGTGCTTTTCTTTTTGAGTAATTTATTGTCTTAAAGTTATTTAATCTCTTTAAAACACTGCCCATACCTTTCACCTCTATTAGGCATTGCTTCGAGAGCCATCAAACCCACCCTGGGACTAATTGACCCTCTGCATACCCTCCACATGCCTGGCCAGGTGGTTGCCAACAGTGGCTTCGATGTACTGTGGTAGGTACCAATGCCATCTAGAGGGGCTTTTTCAGGACCAAATCTATCACAGTATTTTACTAAGCAAATACCTATTTATAGGCACTAATGATCCTTCATTGATTAGTGATCAGCAATATCCCCCACATTGATTGTCATGGCCTCCCTTCTTAGAAGGACACACTGGAGCTGGAAAGGTGGGTGATTAGATGCAATCCAAGGAGAGCCTCAACCCTGTTGGATGAACCACTGCCTCCACCATGGCCTTGGGGGTCACAGCAGTTCAAGGTGACATGCAGCATATCAGGACCACACTACACAGAGCAGGGAAGGCATAGGCTACACCAAGGAGGAAGGCAGGGAAGGGAGCTAGTATCTTCAGAACATTGGTGCAGACATGTGCTTGAGACTGCATCTTTTTTAAATTTAATTTTAATTGTATTGTAAAGGTGATGTTCAGAGGGGTCATAGCTACATAGGTAAGGAAATGAGTACATTTCTTGTCAAACAGTGTTACCCCTTCCCTCACTCGTTTTCTCCCACTTTCCCTTCCTCCAACTACCCTCACCCCCAAGTTGTGAAGCTCATTTCCATATAGCGCCTTATATGTGTCTTGCGTTGGCTCACATTTTATCCTTTGTCTTACCATTTTGTGATTCCCCTTCCCATACCAAAATCAGCTAAATGTATTTACAAGACATAGGGTACCAAAATAAAAAACAGTGACAACAGGGGAGAAACGAAAGGAAAAAAAAAAGAAATAAGAAATAACTTCACACAGTATATTAAAAAAAAAGCCTCTTGTTTACATATCTTGGAATTCATTTTGTTTAGCATCATTTTATATGGTTATATGTACATAGCTATTGAGCTATTGTGATCCTCTGCTAGGACCATCCTAGACATATATTAATGAGTACAAATGAGGGAAACCATGGAGCCTATGTTACTTTGGTTCTAGCTTACTTCACTTAATATGATTTTTTTCCAAGTCTTTCCATTTCTTATGAATGAGGTGATGTCATTGTTTCTGGTGGAAGCATAGAATTCCATTGTGTTATATACCACATTTTCTCAATCCATTCATCTACTGAGGGGCATCTGGGTTGGTTCCATATCTGAGCTATGGTAAATAATGCTGCAATGAACATAGTTGTGCTGGTAGCTTTAGTGTGGCCATATTTGTGATCATTTGGGTAAATGACCAGGAATGTGATTGCTGGATCATAGGGGAGCCGTGTGTGTGTATATAATCTTTTGAGGAACCTCTATACTACTTTCCAGAGCGGTTGAACCAGTTTACATTCTTACCAACAGTTTAGTAGTATTCCTTTTTGGTCACATTCCCGCCAGCATGTGTTATTTTTTGTTTTCTTGATAATGGACATCTTAATTGGGGTGAGGTAGAATCTCAATGTAGTTTTGATTTATATTTCTTTTATGGCCAGAGATGTTGGATATTTCTTCATGTGTCTATTAGCCATTCTTGTTTCTTCTTTGGAGAAGTTTCTTTTTAATTCTTTAGGATACTTGTTAATAAGGTGGTTGTTTTTTTGAGGATTTGTTATTGGGAGGGTTAATTTTTTGACTAGGTATATTTTTTATATGAGGCCTTGTCTATTGTAAAGCTAGTAAAGATCTCCCAATCTGTGAACTTTCTATTTATCTTGCTAGTTATGTCCTTTGCCATGTAGAAACTTTGCAGTTTAATGCAATCCCATTTATCCAGCCTTTGTTTGATTTGTTGTATTTCTGAATATTTAGGAAGTTTCAACCTGTACCAAGGAGCCCTAGTGTATCCCCTATTCCTTCCTGTAATATTTTGAGAATATCTGCCCTTATCTTGAGGTCTTTGATCCATTTGGAGTTGATTCTGGTGCAGAGTGATATATAAGGATCTAACTTCAGTTTTCTATACATGTATAGCCAGTTCTGCCAGTATCATTTGTTGAAGAGGCTTTCTTCCATCTGATGATTTTGGCTCCCTTATAAAAAATTAGGTGGCCGTACATCTGGGTTCATTTCTGGGTCTTCAATTCTATTCCACTGGTCCTCTGGCCTGTTCCAGTTCTAGTACAAAGCTGTTTTTATAACTGCAGCTTTATAATAGAGTTTGAAGTTTGGTATTGATATTCCTCCAGCAATGTTTTTTCCTGCTAAGGATTGTTTTTTTTCTATTTGGGGATCTTCTATTATTCCATATAAAATTTTGGGTTGCTTCTTCTATTTCATTAAAGAATGTTTTGGAGATTTGATGGGTATTGCACTGAATTTGTAGATAGCTTTGGGCAGTATTACCATTTTCATGATGTTAATCTCAATCCAGGAGGATGGGAGGTTTTTCTACTTCTTTAAATCTTCTTTAATATCCTTTTCCAGGTTTTTAAAGTTTTCATCATAGAGGTCTTTCATCTCTTTGGTTAAGTTAATTCCTAGGTATTTTTTGAGGCTATTAAAAAACAAGTTGCTTATCTGATTTCAGCCTCGATCTTCTTTTTGTTGGTATACAGAAAAGTGACTGATTTTGTGGATTAATCTTATACCCTGATTTTTTTGTTTGTTTTTGTAGGTCATAGGGCTTGAACTCTGGGCTTGGGCGCTGTCCCTGCACTCTTCAGCTCAAGGAGAGTGCTTTACCACTTGGGCCACAGCACCACTTCCAGTTTTCTAGTGGTTTATTGGAGATAAGAGTCTCATGGACTTTCCTGCCCAGACTGTCTTTGAACCATGATCCTCAGATCTCAGCCTCCTGAGTAGCTAGGATTAGAGTTGTGAGCCACTGGTGCCCAGCTTATACCCTGACATTTTGCCAGAGTTTGGGATCAGCTCAAGTAACTTGGGAGTGGAGTCTATAGGATTCTTTAAATACATGATCATGTCATCTGCAAAAAGAGAGAGTTTTACTTCTTCTTTCCCTGTTTGGATCCCCTTTATGTTTGTTTCTTACCTAATTGCTCTGGCTAGGAATTCCAATACTATATGGAAGAGGTGTGGAGAGAGTGGATATCCTTGTCTCATTCCTGATTTTAGAGGAAATGGTTTAAATTTTCACCAGTAAGTATAATGCTAGCTTTAGGTTTGTTGTATACAGCCTTTATTATATTGAAGAATGTTCCACAGATTCCTAGTTTCTCCAGAGCTTTCATCATAAAGGGGTGTTGAATCTTGTCAAGTGCTTTTTCTGCATCTGTTAAGATGATCATGTGATTCTTGTCCTTGTTGGAGCCCACACTATATATATATATATATATATATATATATATATATATATATAAAATACATATATATTAGCACTTCCCTGCAGTGCTACGAGATAGGATACTCTCACTGATAGAAAGAGAAAACTGAGTTCCAGATGTTTACTGATTTGCCCAATCTCATTGTGCATTTCTCTGGCTCCAGCTGCAATGTACTAACAACCATGAGTCCACATTTCTCCATAGACCTTGCTCTTGAGGTCCAAAACATTCATTCCCTGGCCTCAAAGAGTTCCCACAGGGCTTTACATTCAGCACACCACACCCCATTCCACATGTGCACATTTTCTTATCTCTGAAATCAGGACATACCTTAAAATTCATGATTAATTATTTTTATCTTCAGCAGTATGTTTTATTTAAACAGTATATCTTATAAATGTATTCAACAGTATGATTTCAAAATGGTGGCATCTCCAAGTTGGTAAGAAATGTGGTAATTCTATTCATCACACTATACACACCAGAATTTCTCTGGTCTACTGTCTCAGCACAGCAGGACTCAGCATGAAACGTTCTTGCATTCACACTCTGTCAGCAGGTTCTGTCTCCTGTCCTGCTTGAATCTCTCTAGTACCCATTTTTTCAAGCTTCATTGTTCCTATCTTTGTTCAGCTTTGCCCCAGTTCATGCTTGGACCATTGCAGTAGTCTTTTCTTATTGTTTTCCTTTATTCTGTCCTATAAGCCTTCCATCTCACCTCCCTCATGGCTTCAACAAGCTTTCCAGATTGCAATATGACTGTCACATGTACAGAATCCTTGACACACATCTACATGTACATGTACATACATCTTTCTACCTTACAAGTTTTGGCAGGTGGTCAGGGTTGCTTTCCATGTCTACTATCTGAAAGTAAACTTCTTGTAGTTCAGTCTGTTCCAGTGCTCAGCTCTTTACCTTTGATAACTTGTCTACAGTTCCATAGAGCATCAACTCCTTGATGGAGCCCTTGCTGGCCCTCCCATGGGCTCTTCTCTATTAGGTAGCCATCCTCTCTTCACTTGCTTGTCTCCCCGCTACACTAAGTTTGATCAGGACAAGGCCATCTTATTCCCTTCTCTAGCCCTGCCAGAGGGACTGTCACATCACAGGTACTGAGTTAGCTGCTGCTGAGTGACATTCACGCTGAAAGGAGGTGACAGTTCTGATCTATACCTAATTCTATCCATGTTCTTCGTCTGCCTTTTCAATTGTGGTCTGCTGCCCAGAAAACTGTTCTCCTTTAAGGACACACCCCTAATTACCTAAATTCCGTGTGTACACGTGCTCACACAAGTGCATGCACCAAGTCTATGCAAATACTAGGACTTAAACTCAGGGCCTGGCTGTTATTCTTTTAGCTTTTTTGCTCAAGGCTAGTATTCTATCATTTGAGCCATAGTTTCACTTTTGATGTTTTGGTGGTTCATTAGAGATAAAAGTCTCACAGCCTTTTTTGCTCAGGCTGGCTTTGAACCTCAGTCCTTAGATCTTAGTCATAGCTAGTAGTGCCTGGCTTAACCTAACTTTCTCCTAACTGGGCCCCAGTACTAAAGGTTTTACCACTTCTCAATATTAGTTAGGGAAGCAAGCCTTTACTCTATGAGGTTAGAAGAATATTTCAGATTCAAACTAGAATATTGCTCTCCCAAGGGCTGGCCAAGTGAGACACATGGCCCAAAGAATCTGCCTATGAGACTCTGGTCTTGCTAAAGATGGTTCATAGTTAGAGGTAATTTTCCTTGTGAGGAGGACTTGATGGGCCTTCATCATGAAGTGGCCATCATATGGCTTGTACGTAGGGAAAGAAGGTGCTGGGAAACTCACATACCTGCCCCTTGCACAAGTTGCATTTCTTATTATAAATGGATCATCTGACTGCCATGTTTTGCCCATGTTTGTTTGAGCTCGGCTCAGCATGTGAGTCTGCCCTTGAGAAACAGATCAACTCTTGAATTTAGAATCTACATGTAATGTAGACATGCTGCCAGGTAGGGGTCAGATTTGGGCCTTGTGGACCACCACCTTATCTTCCCTGAGCATGCACTTCATGCTTGCATTTCTCATACTCTTCCCTCTTCAGAACCATGATGCCATAGCATCCATCTACAAACTGAGGTGTTTTTTTTTAACTTTTCCAATGTTTTGTTCAAAATAAATCCAATACTGAAAGGTGAAATCAATGCAAAACACAGTTTTTGTTCTATTGTGTCCCCAGACCTCGATGGTGCTGTTTTGTACCATCTTTTCATTTTTATTTATTATTTATTTAATTTTATTTTTTTTTATTTTCAGGGCTTGGGAACTGTCCTTAAGCTTCTTTTGCTCAAGGCTAGTGCTCTATCACTTGAGCCACAGCTCCACTTCCCATTTTGTTGAGTAGTTGATTGGAGATAAGACTCTCGTGGACTTTCCTGTCTGGGATGACTCTGAACCGTGACCCTTAGATCTGAGGGTTACAGGTGTGAGCCACTGGCACCCGGCTTATTTAATGCCATATTCTGAAGATGAGTGCATAATGCTTTCAATAGAGGAGTCTGTAAAGTGAGGATTCTCTTTTTCTGGTATGGTATTTAACCAATGTGACATTGGTCTACAACAAAGTCACTTTTTAGATTCAGTGCTTTGTTTTTTGGCTCAAATCTTCATCAATCCAATCTCCTAAAGACATTTAAACTATAAAAGGGCCAAGTGTCATATTTTTTAATTAAATGCATTTCACCAATACATAAAATCACAAAAAAATATGGATGATGTGGCTTAGTGGTAGAGTGCTTGCCTGTCATGCATGAAACCCCAGGTTCAATTCCTCAGTACCACATGAACACAAAAAGCAAGTGGTGCTGTGGCTCAAGTGGTAGAGTGCTAGCCTTGAGCAAAAGAAGTGCAGGGACAGTGCCCAAGCCCTGAGTTCAAGCCCCAGGACTGGCAAAAAAAAAGGATCAGGTACTCGGTGACATTGTTACACTTTACACTTATGTGATCAGGTTAAACACATCGGTCTTCTCAAACATTTATTACTTCTTTAGGAGGAAATAACATGCAAAATCCATTCTTTTAGCTTTTTTTAAGCTGTTCAGTAACCACCACTCTGTATAGTCACCCTGCTTTATAGGATTACACTAGAAACTTCTTGCTCCTAATTATGTGTACCCATAGATGGGTCATACTCATAACTCATTAAAAATCCTGCAGTGCTGTGAATGTAAAGTTGACTTGAATTCCATACTAAGCAATGACTATTGTAGACAAGGGTTGAGTGGAGTGTATTAGCATATCTGCAGGACAGTGAGTGCTGGTTTGTGATTGGATGGGAGGAAGGCGGGACACAATGCTTTCACTCTGTATTTTAAACATTTCTCTTTAGCCACGCACTGGAGTCCTATACTGCCCTTCCTTACCACATGAGGAGCCCCTGCCCTTCCAATCCCATCACTCGGCCAGCATACCAGGGCAGCAACCCAATCAGTGACATCTGGGCAGTGCATGCACTGAGGATCGTTGCTAAGTATCTGAAGAGGTATGTCACCCTAAAGAGACAGAGACAGAACCATATCTGAAATATGATGAGCTATCCTGAGGGAGTTTGAGAACCAGATCAGTCATGCAAGTGGAAAACTGGATAATCTGAAAATAACCATTTTCAGGAGACAGTGGAGGCCCCTAATTTATGAAGGATACAGATATAGTCAAAGCAGGTTTCTTCATGAAAGTCTCAAAGCCAAAGCTAGGCTGAGGTGAGATGCCTTTAGAGATTTGGCTACCAGGGCAGAAATGAAAGCACACAGGCCATCCAGGCCCTCCCAAAGATACACAGAAATCAGCCATTTAACAAACTCACATATACCAAAGCTCCAAAAGTAAATGTATAGAACCTTCTGACCCAGGAGATTTAAAAGGCAGAAACTATAAAAATAATTTCTGAAAGGTTTTGAAGGATTTAAGGATATAACCAAGTGTGGTGGTGCACACCTGAAGTCTCAGCTACGGTGGGAACTGAAGCAGGAAGATAGAAGGAATCCAGGAATTTAAGGCAGCCTGGGCAACATAGTGAGACCCCAATTTCTTAAAACAATAATGAATTGCTGATCTCTGGTGGTTCAGCCCTGTAAGCCTAACTACTCAGGAGGCTGTGAGACCTAAGGATCACAATTAGAAGCCAGCCCAAGCAAGAAAGGCTGTGAGACTCTTATCTCTGATTAGACACCGAAAAGCCAGATGTGGAGCTAAGGCTCAAGTGGTAGAGTACTAGCCTTGAGCACTAAAGCTTGGGGGCAGTGCCCAGGCCCTGAGTTAAAGCCCCAGGATCGACACAAAGAAATTACAATAAAAATTTAAAAACACAGATGCATACACTCATTTATAGCCATACTTTTGAGAAGACAAAGAACAATAACTTCCTGAGGAGACAAAAAATATAAATCTATTCCCCCCTCCCCCCAGTATTCATGGGCATTGATTCAAGGCCTCTCAGACAGGAAAATCCACTGGTACTCAAGTCCCTTTCATATAAAATGGAGTGACACATACGAACTACATACGCTACGCCTTCCCATTATAACCCTTAACATAATGTAAGTGTGTATAAATAGTTATTGTGCTGTATTGTTTAAGGAATAATAACAAAAAAATCTGCACAAGTTCAATTCAAATGCAGTTTTTTCTTTTAAATATGCCTCCTCTACCCTTGGCTTAGAAGCTCCTCTTGTACAGAAGGGCCTTGGAATCAAGAGCTGGGCAAGAGGAAAGGGACACAGAACCATATCAGACTCCTGGGAGGCCTATTTATTTGACAAAGGAGCCAGTTTGTTTAACCAGGACAGGTTTGGCTCAGCTATGGTAGGGGGTGAGGGGGTGAGGACAGTGGACGGCTAAAACCCTGGCATCAGCCACTTTGCCTTGTTATTCAGGGAATAAGGAACTAACACTGCGTTTTAGAAAGAAGACACAGACTATTAACTGTTCCAAGGAAAAGCAGGGGGAAAAAAGGCCCCAGCACTTTTATGCTATAACAGAAACCCTTCCTCCAGGAAAGATCGTGAAACACCCAAGTAGAAGTGATTTTCTTGGCAGCCTTCAGACTGCCTTCCTGGGGCTGAATTTTTAAGACATGCATGCAGGAAAGGCAGTGCTGGAATTCAAAGGGGCTTCTGAGAATTGTCTTTTCAAAAATGACACTGGAACCGGGTGCTGGTGGCTCACCACTACTCAGGAGACTGAAATCTGAGGATCATGGTTCAAAGCCAGTCCAAGCAGAAAAGTCCATTAGACTCTGATTTCCAGTTAACTAGCAAAAAGCCAGAAGAGAAGGTGTGGCCCAAGCGATAGAGCACTAGCCCTAAGCAGGGGGAAAAAAGAAAGAAAAGCAAGAGCAAGAGACCTTGAGTTCAAGTCCCGGTACCAGGATGAGCCTTATCCTAGGATAGCATCACATTTCCACAATCTGAGGACAGGTGTGCAGCTTCCATAAGTGCCAAGAGGGATCCACGTAGATAGATGGCTGGGCTGGCTGGAGTTGGCCTACAGGTAGCCCTTGGTGACAGGCTCAGCTTTGTTTGAGAATGCGTTTCCAGAGTCCATCCACAGCTACCATCAGGGTCATGGACAGTGGAAGAGAAAGAATGAGTCCCAGGCCACTGCCCTTGAGCAGCTGTCCCTCACAGTCGCAGGACCCCGGCTTTGCTTACTGCAGGCAAAGGCACTTTTGTATTATATGATCAGCTGACAACAACAAGAAAGTGTTTCCCTTCAGTTTTCATTTCAAAGACAAGGTGTTGTTTGAATAGCTTGCCTATGTTTTCTTCCTACTGAATAGCATTTCTTTTTCCAGATCTTTCCCTAAGGCAGTTCCTTTATTCAGTAGGAAATACCAATGTTGATGTGTTATTGTTTGGTATTTATATAATTCACAGGGCTGTCAGAAATCCTGACGATCTTGAAGCAAGGTCTAATATGCATTTGGCCAGTGCTTTTGCTGGCATTGGCTTTGGAAATGCTGGTGTTCATCTGTGGTGAGTCAATATGAGACTTCATTTCTTTACCCAAACTATTGCTTTTCATTTTTAAAAAATATTTGTAATTGAGGACAAGTGGTAAAATTGAAGCATGCTATAATAGGAAGACAGTAACAGTATCTAATATTTTCTTAACTTGAATACAATTGATTGTGTCATGGATTTTTTTGGGGGGGGAGTCCGGTCGTGGGACTTGAACTCTGGGCCTGGGCGCTGTCCCTCAGCTCTTCAGCTCAAGGCTAGCACTCTACAACTGAACCACAGCGCCACTTCCGGCTTTTTTCTTTTTGCTTATGTGGTGCTGAGGAATCGAACCCAGGGCCTCATGCATGCAAGGCAAGCGCTCTACCGCTGAGCCACCTTCCCAGCCCTGTGTCATGGATTTTTTTATAACAGCTTTTTAAGATATATCAGATACAATGCAATTGACATATTTAAACTATATGAGTCAATGGTTTTCAGTATCCACACTAAGGTCTACAACCATTAACTTTAGAACATTTTATTACCTTCCAACATTTTATTACCTTATCTGTCATCTACCAATTCCTGGACCTCCATCAGTACTAAACAAACTATCCCTTTCCTTCCCTACCCTCCCCCCCTTTTCCCTTCCATATCCTCCTGCCTACACCTCCCAAGTTGCTAGGTTTACACACATCTCTACCGCATCTGGGTCTGAACTGCTTTTTATCTGTATAGATTTCCATAGTCTGGGTATTTCATATAAATGACATCACAGAAGATGTGGTCTTTTGTGTCTGGCTTATTTAATGTTAACAAGGTTCATTTGTATATAAGCACTTCATCTTGTTATTGTTAGATAAAGAGACCGTACTTTATTTATCCATTTATGAGTTAATGGACATTTGAGTTGTTGGCTATTACAAATCATGTTGCTAGGAGCATTCCCAAACATGCACACATGTTTTTATTTTGTTCCTTTTATTCCAAGGGGTATAATTTCTGGGTCATGTGGTAATTCTGTATTTAACTTAAAAAAAAAAAAAACTACCAGTGAGTAGAGCACACCCAGAGCCTGAAAAATATTTATACAGTTTGGTCCACTAACTTACTTCTAAGAACCTAGGCTAAAGAAATTCCCACAATATGATCAATTAGTTTCCTTATAAGGATGTTTGCTTAAGTGTTATTTATAATTGAACTTTTTTGGGTGTAAAGATTCCCAACAACAAAATGACTAACTAATGTACAGTACTTCAGGAATAAAATAAAAGAGGATTAAAATATCATTTTAAAACACATTATGTGGGAAAATGTTTACAAAGAATATTAAGTGACAAAAGCAATTTATAAAATTATATGCATAATGATTGTGAATTAAGTATCCTTCTAGTTAGAAGGAAAGAGAAGCATAGATCATTTTTATTTTCGACAAAGAACACAAACAACTATTCAAAGCGGTCAGCCCAAAGTTTTCAATATTTCTAGAGAGCTACATATTTCATGAAGAATGAAATATTTAATAAATAATAAATATTTAATAAATATTCCTATAATTCATCAAAATATTTCTCTCTATAAAATGTAACTCATGACAAACACAGATCATCCAATATTAACTGCCAAGCCAGGCACTGGTGGCTTATGCCTGTAATCCTAACTACTCAGGAGGCTGAGATCTGAGGATTGAGGTTTGAAGCCAGCCCAGGCTAGAAGCCCATAGGACTCTTATCTCGAAGTAATCACCAAAAAGCCAGATGTGGAGCTGTGGCTCAAGTGATAGAGCACTAACTTTGAGCACAAGAGTGCTAGTACGGTGCCCGGACCTTGAGTTTAAGGCTCAGGCATGGCACAAAACAAAACAAACAAAAATCTACCAAGCATTCTGTTAATGTGAAGAATTTCATCTTCTCTATATGAATTGCAAATATATTCACCTGTTATATATCTTCCAATCATCTAGATCACTGTAATATTTTCCTATTTGTTTACTAAGAATTGAAGAGCATATAAAATTATTCTTCACCTGACTTATGTAACTGTGCCCCTCTGTACATCATCTTTATAATAACAATAAAAATTTTCTAAAAGGATATTTAAAGATTTTTTTTCAATGGCAACTACATCTAAATACATCCTTAAGGTAAGAAAATCAGGCAAGAGTAATCAGTTAAACTTAAACTGACAAGCCTAGCCTCTCAGGCTGGAAGAATGCATTAGGATCCACTGTCACTTGGCACCCATGGCTCATGCATGTCATCCTGGCTACTAAGGAGACTGAGATCTGAGGATCTTGGTTTGAAGTCAGCCAAGCAAAAAAGTCCATGAGCCCTTATCTCCAAAAAGTAGTTAAGTGCCAATCTTGAGTAAAAAAGCTAAGGGACAGTACCCAAGCTTTGAGTACAAGCCCCAGTACTGGCAACACACACACACACACACACACACACACACACACACACACAGGAGGGTGGGGGTCATTCATATATAACAGTTGAAAGGATTTATCAATTATTGGTGGGATAAATTACTGGCAAGTCCAGTTTGCATGTCATTAAATGTCATAGATTTCTATGATCATTTAATCTGACCAGTTCAGAGGTTGGAGTGCATCACAATTCATCCTTATATCCAAGATAAAGAACATATAACTTTGTATAGTAGCAGTACTGTCCACAAACTGAAGGGCAGACTTAAAGAGTGTCTTTGTGTTATTGACTTGAATTCTGGGATCTGTATTCAATGTAAGAATTCTTGTCTTCTCTTCTAGCCATGGAATGTCTTACCCAATTTCAGGTTTGGTGAAGACGTATAAAGCAAAGGATTACAATGTGGATCATCCATTGGTGGTAAAAATAATAACTAATTTAACTAAATCATATATTCCTTGCAATGTCCATAAGTATATTTGTCAACTCTTTTTGTAGTAGAGATCAAACCCAGGGCCTCATGCATGAACCCCCAGTTTAGTGTGCTAGACTCCCTAGCCCATATTTGTCAATTCTTTTTTTTGGGGGGGGTCTGGTTGTGGGGCCTGAACTCTGGGCCTGGGCGCTGTCCCTCAGCTCTTCAGCTCAAGGATAGCGCTCTACCACTTGAGCCACAGCGCCACTTCTGGCTTTTTGCTTATGTGGTGCTGAGGAATCGAACCCAGGGCGTCAGGCATGCAAGGCAAGCGCTCTACCACTGAGCCACCTTCCCAGCCCCCATATTTGTCAATTCTTAACTGCAGGGTAAAGTCTACATATGTAGAGTACTAAGAAGGAAGAATAGCTTTTCTGTCCATCTCTCCCCAGCCCCATGGTCTCTCTGTGGTGCTCACATCTCCAGCAGTGTTCACATTCACAGCCCAGATGTTTCCAGAGCGGCACTTAGAGACGGCAGAAATATTGGGTATGAACCATTATTCATAAATCTGTTATCCTTGGAAATGGAGGTATGGCTCAATTGGTAGAGCTCCAACCTTGAACAAAAAAGCCAAGCAAATGTGTAAGGCCCTGAGTCTAAGCCCCAGTACTACTAGATAGATAGATAGATAGATAGATAGATAGATAGATAGATAGATAGATAGATAGATAGATAGATAGATCTGTTACCTACATGGGTAGGGACCATTCCTCTGAATTGCTTTTGAAGATAACATGAGGAACATAATACTGCTTTAAGGTAGTGTAATAATAAAATGCCAGTGCTGCCCAAAGCCCTAGCCAACACTAAAATACTGTCTTTTATTTTTCTAAGAGTCTGTTAAAAATGAGAGAGCCAAATATTGATTCTGCTAAGTTTGTATAATACTATTTCCTCTTTTCATTCCCAAAGAAAGTATATACAATTCTGTATATACTATTAATGTTACAATTGACTTTTGCTAGAGTAAATGGATAATAAAAATGCATCTAAATCAGGAAGCAATGGCAAATTTCCAACCATAGAGAAGTTAAACAACAATAAGCTTTATTAAAAGAAAGATCTCAAATAAGGGATCAGTTTGTATACTGTAATATGTTTAGAAATAAGATAGCCAAATGCCTTTTGACTCTTACCAGAAATAAAATCATGTTCAGGGTAGATAAAGTGGAAAGTAAAATATAGGTATTTTTCTGAAATGAGAATTCTTTTAAGTAGACTTGAGTACTGTATTAATTCTGCAAATCATCTTATTCCCCTACTCATGTTTAGGGTAGGAAGGGAAAGAACTTTTCATTATGTTCTTCTAGCTCTGGCCGTTGGAAGGATGCTTTCCAAGGAGGCAAGGATGACCACAGAAATCCTCTGTGTACCGCCTCCTTCCCTTCCCTCACACTCACTGTTTGTGCTCAGAAGCCCAGGATTGAGAGCCAGCTCCAGGCTTGATTTTCAGAGTGAGCCGCTAGAACACACTGCCAAATGTACCATGTATCTCGTGTGTGCCTTTTTACTTTGGGATGAGTACTATATTCCACTATATGTGGCATACAGCTGCCTTTGTAACACCTGTTGGCATCAAAATAAGGAAAGTCTTAGAGAACTTAAAAGTCCCATTCCAGACAATCATCTACACTACTGAAAAAGCAACTACTCTGTTGTTAGACAAAGGCAGACTGGAAAAACCCACTGCTGCTTCTTGCACAGGAAACTAAAATTATCCCATACTTTGCAATTAAATGTTTGGATTATGTGATCATTGATTATCTTAACGTTAAGCCAATATAGTCTCTTTCCTTCTGTCCCTCCCCTCCCCACAAAAAAAAAAAAAACTTCATAGGAAATCCCAGAAGTTTTGGTAATGTGTTTTATCACAGCCTCCTAGGAACATAAATGTATCAGAAACCTCTATCATGCGTCACTGAATTCACGTGTTAGCTGCTGGTGAATATTACAGACCAATCTTGTCAGGTTAGTTTTGCCTTTTATCCAGTTGTTCTTTATGGAACCTGTGTCTGGTTCTGTTCATGCCATTTCCTGTTTACTAACACATTATAACATCATAGAAAGGAAAGCTTAAGGGCTGGGAATGTGGCTTAGTGGTAGAGTGCTTGCTTAGCATGCATGAAGCCCAGGGTTCGATTCCTCAGTTCCATATAAACAGAAGAAGCCAGAAGTGGTGCTGTGGCTCCAGTGGTAGAGTGCTAGCCTTGAGCAAAAGAAGCTCAGGGACTATGCTCAGGATCTGAGTTCAAATCCCAGGATTTGTAAAAAAAAAGAAGGGAAAGGAAGGAAGGAAGGAAGAAAGGAAGGAAGGAAGGAAGGAAGGAGAGCTTAAAACCAATCCCATGACGTGCTTTCCTGTGGAGGAAGACTGCACACTCTCATCTCTCTTGCAGGCATTTGGATTGACTTCAGGCAGCGTAAGACTTCATTTTTTAGAGTCGTAGACATTCCACTCCAGTACATGGCAACAGGGCAAATGCTAAGTGATGCGCTAAGAAAAGACACGGGACATGCACACCTCAAGATGGCAGCCAATTCCAAGCCTTGAAAGTCACATGAGAGCTGTATTTCTTCTACTAGTGTGCCTTATGCCTCATCTCAACGCCATTCCCTTCCCCACCCTCTTTCTGTACCTCTTTGGCTCTGTTCCTCTTCTTCCCAGCATACTTGAGCGAGCAGGTAGGACTTCGTTCCTTGGAAATGTGAACAAGGAAGTGATCCTAGTGACTTCTGCTGCAGTAGCTCTTAGCTTCTCCTCTGGCCTTGCCAATGCATCTTCTATGTGCTTGACCTGCCCCCACCCCATCTCCACTGGAGGAAAGCCCAGGGCTGCCTTCATCCTGGAGTCTGGAGATAGCATTGAGTGGGCATTATGTGTTCGGTCTCAGATTAAGAATACAACATCCAGAACCTGCTTCTTCTCTTGCCTCTCTTCACAGTCTGCATTTGTGTCTTCTAGGGGGCAACACCCGCACTGCTAGGATCCAGGATGCTGGGCCTGTGTTGGCAGACACGCTCCGGGAATTCCTTTTTGACTTAAATGTGGACAATGGCCTAGCGGCCATCGGTTACTCCAAGGCTGACATCCCTGCATTAGTGAAAGGAACCCTACCCCAGGTAAGAGGTGCAGTGTGGTGCTGCCAAGCAGAGACCTTCCGGAAAGACATGCTCCACTGGGGTATATTAGAGGGCATGGAAACCCGGGTCTTCCAATGATTCCCAGGTCTTCCCCAAGCCATACAGCATGACTCTTCCACCCTGGGCCCAAGCTCCTTAGCTTTTATGTCTCTTCTATAACACCATGAAACTGAAAACTGAAAAGGTCCGTTATGAAAGTTCAGGACAAAAACAGCCAAATTGATCTCAAGTTATAGCAAGCTCCCCTTTCCCATTTCTTTCTTTTTGTGGTACTAGGGTTAAAACTCAGGACCCTGTGTTTACTGGGCAGGTTTTCTACCCCCTCAAAGTTCTGTCCAGTGCTAGCCTTCAACTGCAGTCTTCCTACATATTCCTCTTGAGTAGCTGAGATCACAAGTGTGTACCACCATGCCCAGTTTATGTGTCTTGACTGGCTTTTAATTGTAATCTCTTTCTCCATTCCTCTCTGTCTCTGTCTCTCTGTCTCTCTCTGTCTCTGTCTCTCTGTCTCTCTCTGTCTCTGTCGCTCTGCCTCTGTCTCTCTGTCTCTGTCTCTGTCTCTCTGTCTCTCTCTGTCTCTGTCGCTCTGTCTCTGTCTCTCTGTCTCTGTCTCTGTCTCTCTTCCTCCCTCCCACCTCTCTCTTATGCCAGTACTGAGCTTGAACTCAAGACCTCGGTGCTATTCCTTAGCTTTTATGCTCAAAGCTGGTGCTCTACCACTGGAGCCACAGTTCCACTTCTAGCATTTTACTGATTAATTGAAGATAAGAGCCTCACAGACATTTCTGCCTGGACTAGCCTTAAACCATCATCCTCAGATTTCAGCCTCTTAAGATTATAGGCATGAGCCACCTGTACCCAGCTCTGCAGTCCTCTTGATCTCTACCTCCTAGGCACGAGGCACCGTGCCTAGCCCATTTCAGCCTTGTAAGGGTCCTCTAATGAAACCAAGCAAAGCTGTTCCCGAAAGACCACTAATATCACTTCTGATTATGAAGACTACTACATGGGCACCAGTGTCTCATGTCTGTAATCCTAGCTACTCAGAAGTCTGAGATCTGGAGAATCAAGATTTGAAGCTAGTCTGAATAAGAACATTTACTAGACTGCCTCTCCAATACAACCCGCTAAAGTTTTGAGCTATAGGCATGGTTCAAGTAGTAGTAGTAGTAATAGAATGCTAGCCTAGCAAGCATGAAGCCCCAAAACATAGTACCACCAAAACACTATTACAAAATTGCTTTTGAATGAATTTAGAATATTGCCTATTTTGTATCTAGATTTTATTTCATTTAGTTAAATGTTAATAAAGACCATCCTTTATTCAGTCATTCTATCAACCTATGAGGACTGGTAGAATCATAACAGATGTAAAAGTCTCTCTCCCAAGAATCTCATGAAGAGAGCTAGTCTTTTTACGGATCTATTTTGAGCTGGTACTTCAGATCCCAATGTACAAAGATCCTGTTCACCATAAAGATCCCTTCACTTCATCAGTGTTTCAAATGTTGATGACCTCTCCACTTACATAAGATAATATTTATGTAGATTGAGTTTATGTCCAAAAAAGCCAAGTAGGTAAAAATCAATGAACAGCCAGACAGAATTGCCATGAAGCCTGTCCAGGGACCACAGACTTTAATGTAGCATAGTCCCAGCAAGGCTATTTGTTCATCAAAGGACCATATGAAAAGTTCTATTTGTTAGTCCAGAAAAGTATGCAGGAGTATATATGTTTGCCTACTTGCAAATATGCCATCCATGATTTTCAGATGAACATGTGTGATATTCTTAGTCAGTAAGTGCTGGCTGCAATGCATCTTGGAACTATCAACTCATACCGACAAGGGTTGACTGTTCTGATCCTCCTCTGCTCACATCTTCACTTTCAAAAGCAATTCCAGATTCAAACTAACACTTGAGACCATCCACAAGTTCATTAGGTATCATTTGGAATGCTTGTCAATAGTGGGAATCCCAGAAACAAAACCGGAATTAAGCAAAATGAATTTTTTGACCTTCATAAAAGGTGGGAAGCAGAGTCTTGGATGGAAGTCCGATGTAGAGTAGAAAGCCAGGTTTTCCTCAAGCTGAATCTGCAAAGCAGCCAGAAGGCAAGGACTGCCTTTCCCCACCTATGACCACATTTTCATGCTTAGGAGAAACATGGTTAATTTTAATTAAATTGCACTGATTCCCAGTTGGAGCTGATAAGATTGAGATATTATGAATTCACAGACTTAAGAGGATTTTGGAGGAAATCTTAGAAGAAATGAATCTGTCCATTCTGCAGATAAAGAATTATATGGGTTTTGTTGTTGCTGTTGTGTTGTTTTCTGGCAGCAGTGAACATTATAAAAGAACACCAGGGCAACCTCGGAATGTCACATATACAGCGAACTAATCTTCACTTATTAGTATTTACAGGATTTAAGGTGGTGAGGGAGTATGCTATTCCCTGCAATGAACCTTGCCAGAAGGGTTATTGCTTGCAGTCCAGGTTTGATAAAGGTTCGTTTATGTTCAGCCGCAGCTGGGGGTGGGAGAGCGGGGGAAGGGGTCAGTTTTCTCTGGAAAGAACAACCTGGCCTGTATTCTTGACCAAACACCATAGCCCAATGCTGGTGGCAACACACAGCAGCCCTGTGTACAGAGGCTTCCAATTGCCACAGCCAGGGTGCAAGGGCACCAGGCAAGAATAAATGAGTTCTCCAAGCTGGACTTCTGAAATGTTTCTGGAAAGAAACATTTACATTCCAAATCAAAACATTTCATTACCAAGGAGAGCTGTCTCCCCAAAATGAACACTTCCACCCTCTGGTAGACAGGCCAGCTGAAATGTTATTTTATGAATGTACTAAAAGCAGAAGTCTGAATTTATTTCAGTGCCCATGCTAATCAGTTGTTCTCTGGTCTTACATGTCTATAAATAATAGCACGTTGCTTCCTTCACACAGCTTCGTGCTGAGAATTTGGCTTCTGCACAGCTGATATGTCTAGTAGCAGGTCACGTGCTTTATGTCTTTGCCTTTTTTTCCCCGTCCCTGGAGGTTGGAGGCCTGAAAGAGAAATTCAAAATAGTTTTGGCCTGAGGGACTTCAGAGAATCCTGAAGTGTTTCATCAAAGATAAACAGGATCTTGTTAAGGACCCTTGACCTCATCAGATAAGCCCCTGTAGCCGACTGCTTTACAGATTAGTATCACTATGTGGTTGTAGCCTGCAGCACTGAACTACAGCTTTAGGGATGGCAAGGTGTAGGGGGTTTTGAATTCAGAGCCTTGCATTTGCTAGGTGAGAAATCTACCGCCTAAGCTGCAATCTACAGCCTGCCATCTACACACATTTAGGTCTGGTCTACAGCTTGTGTGTGTGTGTGGCTTGATCTCAGACCCTGGGCCCAGTCCCTGAGCTTCTTTTGCTCATGGCTAGTGCTCTACCACTTGAGCCACTGCTCCACTTCTGGCATTTTGGTGGTTAATTTGAAATAAGAAGCATTAGCAATCCTGCCTTGCAATGGGTTTTCAAAATTCTTCAGTGGATTTTTAGATCTCCTAAAAGTTGTGCCCAGCCCCACCCATCTTCATCTACAATGTCCCCCAAATATCTTCCATCCTTCTGTTTTAATTTTTTTAGTTATTATTAAGGGGTTGTACAAAAGGATTATGATTCTGTTTTCAACCTTTTCCAGTGTGGTAAAATATACATAACAGGAAATTTACCCTATTAGCCATTATTAGTGCTTTTTAGTATATTCACTATTTACAGCATCCACAGCTCTCCAGTTCCAAGACCTTTTTATTTTCTCAGACACCTCTACATACAATAAACAGAAGCTCCCTGTTCTTGCCTTCTCCAAGTCTCCAGTAACTTCTAGTCTACCTCTTTATTTGCCTCTTCTAGCTTATTTCATGTGAGTGGAATTGTACAACAGCTCTCCTTCTGTGTGACTGACTTATTTCACTCACCTCAACATCTTCAGCATTAATCCATGTTGTAGCATATGTCAGGTCCACATTCTTGTTCATGTCTGAATAATATTTCATTGTATGGATGCAACACACTTGGTTTCTCCATTCATATGTTGATAGAGACCTGGGTTCTTTCCTACTTTAGCTCTTATGAATAATGCTGCTATAAACATTGTTGTGCATTTATCTTTTTAAGCCCCTTCCTTCAGTCCCTTAGGGGGACCTATGAGTAGAATTGTTAGTTTGAGTGGTAATTCCATGTTGAAGTTTTTCAGGAGTTGCTGAACTGATTTCCCCAGTGGCTGTACTAGTTTACGTTCCATGAAGAATGCACAAGGTTCTAATTTCTCTATGTCTTCACCAACACTTGTGATTTTCCATTTTTTAAATAGCAGCCATCCTTCTGTGTGGACTGGGATCTAGTTGAGGTTTTGATTTGCATTTCCCCAGTGACAAATAGTGTTGGTCATCTTATCGTATGCTTACTAGCTATTTATATATCTTATTTGGAAAAGATTCTGTTCAAGTCTTTTGCCCTTGTGTGTGTGTGTGTGTGTGTGTGTGTGTGTGTGTGTGTGTGTGTGTGTGTTGGGGTACTAGGGCCTTATGCTCTTACTTAACTTTTTCACCCCAGGATGGCGCTCTACCACCTGAACCACATCTTCACTTGCCTTTTGCCCATCTTTGAACTGAATTGTTGATGTTTAATGTTAGAGGCTTTTTAAAATTCTGGACATTCATCCCATTTCAGTTTGAAACTATTTTCTTCCATTTTGTGAGCTATCTTCTTATTGTCTTGTTAGTGCTTTTTGATACACAAAAGTCTGAACTTTTTATCTAGCCCAGGCCATCTGGATTGTTGTTATTGTTGCCATGCTTTTGTGGTCATATCCAAGAGTTGCCATTTCCATGTCATGAGGATTAGACTTGAGTTCTAGGAGTTTTAAGGGATTTGCTCTTATGTTTAGGTTTTTGATACATTTTGAGACCATTTTTAATGTATCCATCTTTTCATTTTCCATCTTTCTATTTACTTGAGGTCTTGGAATTTGTGGAGTGTTGGTAGAGTGCTTGCCTAGCCTGCATGAAGCCCTGGGTTCAGCTCCTCAGTACCATACTAACAGAAAAAGCCAGAATTGCGCTGTGGCTCAAGTGGTAGAGTGCTAGCCCTAAGCAAAAAGAAGCTCAGGGACAGTGCCCAGGCCTTGAGTTCAAGCCCCAGGACTGGAAAAAAAACAAAAACAAAAAAACTTTTGAGTTCTGTCCTATACAATTCATTATGTGGTCACAGTCCTTTTTGCCCTCCTGGGACTTATAGTGAGGGGTGACAGGCAATGAAGATCTATAAGAAATATAAATACAATTGGTTCAGAGGAAGATTGATGGTATGAAGGAAAACTTGAGTAATGAGACAGTAATCTTGGGGGTGGGGACAATAAGGAGGAAACCCCAGGGAGTGTGGTTAAGTCTTCTGTTCAAAGTCCTCTTCATGGACATGCTACCCCATGAAGTGTGCCAGGCAACGGGGAAAGACATAATATTTAAAAGGAACAATGGGACTGAGATGAAGCAGTGGGAGCAGCCAGAAGCCAGCATGACCTGGTCAGGGCCAGCATCACAGGCCATGATTTTGTTCTAGTCTTAAGAGAAAGTTGTCTGAGGGCACAAAGCACAGGAACAGTAGGACCAGAAAATAAACTTGTCAGGCTGCTGTGAAGAGAATGAACGCTAGGGGGCAATAGAGAAGCAGAAAAGGAAACAGCCCGCAGAAGGAGGAGTTCCAAATAGGACCAGGACATGAGGTGCCTCAGGAGCTGCTGGTGGTTCAACAGATAAGACATGCTCAGATTGATTCTCAAGTACATTAGACAGACTTTCTGATGAGTTGAACTTCCAAAGCAAGAGAATGAGAACTCAAGAATAGCTTCTAGGTTTTGTCTGAGCTACAGAATGTCATCTGGGAGATGAGGAAAAAAGGAAGGGTGAGTGATTCAGCATTCTGGTACACGTGGCCTTTGAGGTGCCACTTCCCCTAACCCCCCTCCCCCATCTTCATTAACTGAACCAGTAATTGTTGAGCATCTGAGTGCTTGAGCCTGTCGAGCATTAACTAGGATAGGCATGAGCAAGGAGCCACAGACAGGATTGGAGCCTCTGCAACCAATCGTTCTCCCAAACGGTGCTTACCACCAGGAAGCAGACCAGAGACCTAGGAAAATGGAAACTCCCCAAATGGCACATGTCTTAATTGCATTTAGGGCCACAAAAAAAGTCATCGTATCTTTTAGCCCAGAGGGATAATAGAGCCACTGAGGGAGTACAAATAGCCTGAAAGATATATGGGTCATCTTTGCTGATTTCACTCATAATCACTGGAAAAGTAGAACTTAAACATTAGTTAAAAGAAAGAAAGAAAGAAAGTCACTTGTTGCACACAGCCTTGACCTCTTGTGTCCCTTCAAATAGACCATAAATCCAAGCTGCAGAATAAATGGCCTTGCCAGGTACCAGTGGCTCAGACCTGTAATCGTAGCTACTGAGGAGGCTGAGATATGAGGATCAAAAGTCAAAGCCAGACCAGTCAGGAAAGTCCAGGAGACTCTTATCTCCAATGAAACACAAAACAAAAACAAACAAACAAAAACAGAAGTGGAGCTGTAGCTCAAGTGGTAGTGTACCAGCCTTGAGTAAAAGAAGCTCAGGGACAGCTCCCAAACCCTGAGTTCAAGCCCCAGGACTGGCACAAAAATAAATAATAATATATGGTCTCGAAGTCAAGACCAGGAAGATTATTTGTGTTTTCCTTGGCAGCCCTGACTGGGGCTTGACAGGGCTTTCTGAAGTGGACAACTCACAAGGGTTGTGGCAATCTTACTTTGAGCTTTATTGGACATATTTTCTCTGTGGCTCATTTGAAGCTCTGCCTTGGGGTAAAAGGCTGTTGCCAGGGCCGAAGGCATGGGACAATGGCTTTTAAAAACTTCATGGAAGAAAGATATTACTTGATAAAATCTTGAGTTTCAAGTTAGCTCATGCAAAGCATTCCAGAAATAAGATATTCTTTAAAGATGTGACTTTTCTTGTGATCAAGTTAATTACCCCAGTAGCTTTTATGAACTGTCACTTGCAGAGCATGGGTAACTCCTTTTGTTTACTGTTGCAGGAAAGGGTCACCAAGCTTGCACCCCGTCCACAGTCAGAAGAGGATCTGTCTGCTCTGTTTGAAGCTTCAATGAAACTATACTAATAATTATTACAATAGCAAGAATTACCATTTATCATTGTAGTTCTGAACATGGAGCAAGATCTGGCTAGAGCTCTAGCTAATTCTTCACACCTAACTGTTGCTGATTTGAATGTGACCTAAATTTATCATGCAGGAGATTCACTGATGCTTACACTTAAGCTACTTTCATCGAGCAGTCTGGACAAATGCCCACTGTGTCAGACCCTTGGGCCACCTTTCAGGGGTCAGTGTTCGTGTGCCAACCTCTACACAATATCAGGCCTGTACTTTGTGTCAAGAGGGAAGAATTTAGCATCTACCAAATACGTAAATATACATAGCCTATGTCCAGGACTACATGTCTAGAAATGGATCCTATAGAAATATTAATACATATATGTGAAGTAATATTTCAAGAATTTTTTGAATAATAAAACATTTGAAGTAAGCCAGATGCTGGTGGCTCATGCCCCTAATCCTACCTACTCATGAGGCTGAGATCTGAGGACTGTAGTTTGAAGCCTGACCAGACCAGCTTCAAACCTAAGTCCATGAGAATATTATCTCCAATTAACCACTAAAAAAACAAATGTGGAACTCTAGCTCAAGTGCTAGAGTACAAGCCTTGAGAAAAAAAAATCAAGAAACTAAAAACAAAACCCAGGGACAATGGCCCAGGCCCTTAGTTCAAACTTCAGGATTGGCACCCACACACACAAAAAATCGAAACAATCTAAATATTCATTTATAAATCGTAGTATGTTAATCAGTGTATACTATGCCCTTGTTAATAAGAATAAAAATCTGTTGGCAATATATATATATATATATTATACAAAAATTGGCAAAAAATAAGTTGCAGGGAAGTTATAGGTTATGATCAGATTTTTACTTTTTCAACTATAAATAAACATGTTTCTACAAATAGAAATTGCAGAAGTGGAACCCATAGCCCAGAGGGTCTACTGTACATGCTGAGTTCAATATGATATCATTAAGACAACATTGAACTTACGGCCCTGGGTTTTGCCTCAGTTTTATCTGAGTCCTACTTGATTCAACCATGGTTTCTTTCAACTTGAAGAGACTGTGACTAGATTTTATGAATCACAATTCCTTTGTGAGATTTTGAATTTGAAAATTTTAACAGAAAATAATTTGAGATACAAAAGTGAATTCTTTATCTCTCTTAAGTGATATCTTTCCTTAGAGTAGCCAGAAGTCCAATATGACTCACCAAAAGCCTTTGGTATTCATATTAAGAAGGACTGTGAGGGAAGACTTTGAAGGTCCAACTCTAAGAAACAGATTTAGGAAGCTTTAATGGGTTTTATCTCGACACTCATCATTTTGGTCCTTACAAGTTGAAAATATGTGGCTTTTTTGTTTTGGCATTTTGTTTGTTTTGGTTTTGCTTAGTTTTTTGTTGTTTGTTTTCTTTTTTTGGTGCCAATACAAGGGCTTGAACTCAGGGCTTCATGCTCATGTTCATAGCTGGCACTCTACTACTTGAGCCATGCTTCCAGTTCAGCATTTTGCTGAAGTAAAGAATCACAGACTTTTCTGTCCAAGCTGACTTCGAACTTTAGTCCTTCAGATCTCAGTCTCCTGAGTAGCTAGAATTATTGGTATGAACCATGCATTCACTCTTGTTTTGGTTTTGGTTGGGGGGAAGAGGGGAGGGTTTTTTTTTCTGTTTTTGTTTTGCAATACTGAGTTTTGAACTGGAGCCTTGCTAACAAGGTTAGACAAGTTCTCTAAAAATCATGTTTTGTTACTTGCTAGCTTTTTTAAAAAAGTGCGAGACAAGACTATTAGACTTATTTCTGTAATACTTTCATGTTGCAAAAACAACAATTCTTATAATTTCAAATCCAACTTTTCGATTCATTTTCTTTAAAATTTTCTAGAACTATAGCTCCATTCACCGAGGCACAGAAAATTAAAGGAATGATATTGGAGAGTTTGTATAATAATACTTTGATAGAAATATCATATATGGCTGCATTCTCAACTAACATACGTACACATCTATAAGTTACTTCATGTGTAAAACACTAACTTGTTTAAGTTAGCCATATTTCTGTGATTTATTGTCAAGTACACAGAAAGTAGCTGCCTTTCTCCATGTACAGGAAGAGACATTGTCATTGTTTACATAACTCTGGACGTAGCTGTGGGGTATTTTCAAGTGGTCAGTGAAATAAGTCTACTCTCATAAAATACTGACAAGTACAGTATCAAAACAGAGATGTATGTGTGTATATGTGTGTATGTACATATATATGCAAAAATTGCTGTCCTGACCTTTAACCCTGAAAAAGATTAATGGTTGTTTGGATTGGAAACTACCCTAATGAGACGCTGTTGCCTCTGGGGATGATGTAGGAGAAGCAGACTTTTCACCTCCAGGTCAACATTGCACAGGCAGTAAGTCTCTGATGACCAGCAACCCCACACCAGACAGCTGCCAGCGCTCTGCCATGAAGTGCCTGGTCCTCTGGGAACTGTTGAGGAACCAAGCCATCACCATCACAATGGCCTGGGGGAAGCATTCCCCAGACTCCAGCCATAATGAATGGACAGAAATCGGTCCTTGAAACCCTAAGTTGAATTACTGGCAGCTGGGGGTGGGCGGGTCTCGTGTCTCTTGTTATTATTCCACTGTTTTTCTGATCACCCCCCCCCAATCACTTTTCACAATAAATGTGTTCCCTTTCTATTAATTGCAGTAACAGACTTTGTCCCATGTGAGATCCCATAAAACTATGTGCAGGACAGTTAACTTCAAAGTAACCCAGTCTCATTCTCTCTGGCTTTAAATATTGCCTTTTTAATTGGAATGCCTTTCATTGGTTTCCAGTTTGTAAATGTTTCCAAAATCTGACTAAAATAATCATTAGCAAAAAAGAAAGGAAAGAAATTACTTATGATCCTATTACCCAAACACAGCTGTTGACTTTTGATATGTTTCCTTTCCATTTTTTCTGTTGTGACTGTACAACCTTTAGCATTTCTTATAAGTCATGACATTTTAGGCAATTGCCACATTGCCATATAATCTTTATAAATCATCATTTAAAGGTAAATTGAGTCTATAGAGTAGGATTTTAATAATTCACCCTGATGAGAGGCAATTAAGATTGCTTCTAAAATTTAATCAACCACTCACGTAGCAAAAACTGAATGAATAATATATATGAGGCCTTTACATATTCTAACTGAATTAAGTTCCCTCACAATGAGTTTTTACTATGTAATGTAATCATATTGATTCATAGTTGCAAATTGTGTATATAGTACCTCACCATTAATGTAAGTGTTGACTCTCTCCTCCTTCAATCTTAGGTCTCTTCAAAATAAATACTGGCACAAAGCAACAAGAAATGAAACAAAGTTAATTCCCATGAATGGTTGTTATGCTGTACTGTTTGAAGAATAGCAAAGTGGGAGGGGGAGTCTATACATGTTTAATATACGTTCAGTGTGTGTGTGTGTGTGTGTGTGTGTGTGTGTGTGCGCACGTGTGTGTGGGGGCATATGTATGTGTACAGAGGGCCCTATGTGGCCAATTTACTTTGATTTAACTGCAAAAGAACCAATAGCTACACTCTTGAAAGCTCAGGGACGTTGGTAGAGGCCTATAGTTTCTCACTCCAAATACTGGAGGAGGCATTAGCTAAACAGTGCGTGTTCAGTGAACTGCCGATAATGTCTGATTTTATGAAGTATCTGGCGACTCATATGTGTAATCCTAGCTACTCAGGAGGCTTAGATTTGAGGATTGCTATTCAAAGCCATATTGGGCAGGAAAGTCTGTGAGACTTCTATCTCCAATTAACCTCAAAAAGCCAGAATTGGAGCTGTGATTCAAGTGGTAGAACACTAGCTTTGAGCACAAAAGGGACCGCTCGGTGCCCAGCCAGAATGATTTTTGATAAAAATAGAAATTATTGTATGGCTTTCAGTGTCTTCTCATGGCTTTCCATATAGACCGGGTCATCATGCCCTTGCCGTTGCCTCTTTGTCTATTCTCATGTCTATTCTGAAGATGTAACGGAAGGCACATTGACTCATCAGGTTCCCACATGTCTCTGGCCTCCATAGCTTTGGTCAGATAGTCCCTGTGCCTGAAATCCCCTGCCAAACCACATTGCAAACTCCTGTCCGTTCTTCACTCCTCAACCCTACCCTCTCCTCACAACCTCCTCCCTAGGGAAATCCAGGAATCGAATTTGAAGTTCCCCTTAAACTCCCATAACATTCTTTGTGTGTCTTTACTTGTACCCTGTGTACCACCGGTCATTTTTCTTGTCAGTCTCCTCTTCTAATCTGTCACCAAGGGGTAAAAAATGTTGACTTGATGATTGCAGATCTTTGTCAGCTGGCACAAGAGCTGGCAGATGTAGCAGTAGGTCATCAACATGCACTTGAAGAATGGAATGGAAAGGAGAAAATGAAACAACTACTATACTTTTTTCTTCCTCATGTTTTAATTGACCAAATTGACTCTTTCTGAGTGAGTAAATAAGAAGCCTGTATGCTATAGCAAGTGAGTAGTGGAAACAACATCTCTTGCTTGTAGTATCCTGGTTAACACAAAACAAAACAAAAACCTAGCAAAAAACAAAAATGAGAGAAATTCTACCTCTACACTTATTTCTTTTTCTTTCCTTCTTTCTCTTTCTCCCTTTCTCCCTTTCTCTGTCTCTCTGCCTCTTTGTCTCTGTCTCTCTGTCTCTCTCTCTGACTCTGTCTCTGTCTCTCTCTCTCTCTTTCTCGTGTGTGTGTGTGTGTGTGTGTGTGTGTGTGTGTGTGTGTGTGTGTGTGCGCATGCGCACGCGCTTGAACTCGGGGCCTGGGTGCTGGCCCTCAGTTGTTTTGCTCAAAGCTTGCTGGCATTACATCATTGGAGCCATACATCCACCTTCAACTTTTTGGTAGTTAACTGGAGATAAGAGGCTCATGGACTAAGCCCAGGCTGGCTTTGAACCACAATCCTCAGATTTTAGCCTTCTGAGTACCTGACCAATCTGGTTGGAATTCATTCTTTAAAGTTCTGGCCCATGGTGCACTGAGAACATTAGAAGAACAGTCTGGGAAATGCAAAGAATTTCAAATCTGCTTTTTCAGGTCAATGTACAGAGAACCCATTAGCTGATCCGATGCGGAGTTAACTATAAAGAGCAGACAACTGCCCACACAAAATAAAGTTTTCCTATCAGTAGTAACATCTTAGCAGCTTTCCTTTTATGATCCTGACATTTTCTCCTTTTTCAAAATCCAATTTGAGCTGGGACCCCCAGGGGTTCACACTTGTAATCCTAGCTACTCAGGAGGCTGAGTTCTAAGGATCACAGTTCGAAGCCAGCCTAGGCAGCAATGTCCATGAGACTCTTATCTCCAATTAACCCCAGGAAACCACTGGCACTGTGGCTCAAGTGGTAGAGTGCTCGCCTTGAGCTGAAGAACTCAGGGACAGCACCCAGGCCCAGAATTCAAACCCCATGACCAACAACAACAACAAAAAAATCCAATTTGAATGCTTGTGATTTTTAAATGAAATAGTAAAGCCATCAACACACAGTAAAAAGCTACATTAGCACTAGATATGATATATTAGCTAAAGACAGTATTTATAATCCTGAGTGTCTAGAGTCTATTTTATGTTAAAGTATTGAATCACTAGTCCTTCCCAGTTACAGCCCCTAAATCCATGAACTTCGGAATGACAGATTGGACTCTGGAGTCTTAAATTTTTATATGGCTTCTTATTACCTTTTAAAATCCCTTCTAAACTCCAAATCCCTTTAGCATGGCTGCAGGTTTTTCCTCAGCTGAACTGGCAGCAGGCTGATCTTTTCATTGGTGGGTAATGGATTTAGTTTGATTGCTGACATGGGAACAATGAGAGGATAAACAATTCCATTTGTGGGCATGAAATTCCCCATCTGTTGAGTGCATTCATGACTGAAGAGCGCTGGGCAAAGACAGATGAATGAGCCTGCCACGCCCCATGTAAATGACATCCGTCATACAAGCCAAACATGTGGTTTCATAAATCAAGAAGTAATAGCAACTCTGGTTGCTCACGTCATTAACAAGCCATCCACTTAAAGACCTAAGAATTTATCATAATATTGAACCTATAAACAATCTCATGAAAGAAAACAAAAGTAGTAAAGAAAAATTATTCTTGAAGGTTAAACTTTCTCAGCTAGACACTCAAATATTTGTAAATGAAACAATATAATGTCTAGGATTGGCTTCAAGATAAAATTTTAATGAAAGTGTAGGTACAGAGATGGATAAACAAGATTGGCCATGAATTGATTGGTGTTAAAAATGCATGATGGATGGGAGGAAAAGATGGAAGAAGTCACATTGATCAGAATGCCTTGTGCTCATAAAATGACCTGTTGAACCAAAATCCTCTTGTACAACTACTAAAAGATAATTTTTAAGCAAAAAAAAAAAGAATGATGGGTACCCGAGGGACCATTAGACTGTAGTTTAATGCATATATTTAAAATTATTTTTTAAAGCAGAACCAAAGAGATACCCTTTATTGAATTAAATTGTACATCTGATTTTTAAAACTTGTCAAGTATTCACAAAGCAGATAGATTTTCATACTACCAATTGCAGAAACACAAAATAAGTTTACATATAATCCCGACAGAAGTAACCTTTCCTTCTATCATTAAGAAAATAAACTATTTTTTACAAGTTAAAACTGTTTACTATGCTGTAAAACACCAAAAACACTTGACGCAAAACCTATTACTTTTTAATAAAAAGTATGCCTTTTCATTTTCTATTCTTGGCCCAAATTTTAATTCTTTCCAGTGGAACCCAAACCTCCTGAACCCCTTTCAGTATCATCCAAGACTTGAACTTCTTCAATTTCTGGATAAAAAACCTGTTCACAAATGAGCTGAGCAATTCCATCACCCTTTTTCACTTCAAATTTCTCTTTGTCAAAATTGAACAATATAACACCAACATTTCCCCTATAATCTTCATCTATGACACCAGCTCCTACATCGATGAAGTGTTTTGCAGCCAAGCCAGAACGTGGAGCTACTCTTCCATAGCACCCAGAAGAAAGAGCTATCTGAATGTCCGTCTTCACAAGGGCTTTCTCCATAGGTGGTATTGTATAATCATAGGCACTGTCCAGGTCATAGCCTGCCGAGCGCGGACCCCGGGTCGGGGTCGTGGCGTGCTCGGAGAGCCTCACAAAGCAAAGCCGCATGTCACCTTCCTTAGCAGGGGGAGCTGGCTGGGGTCTGTTTTGAGCAGGGCATGGCCAACCAGGGAGAGGGAGGAAGAAAGAGAGAGAGAGAAAGAAAGAGAGACAGAGACGGCGCCAGGTGAGCGCTATTTAAAATTATTATACAGAGAAATAAGATATTTTAAAAATTGACGATAGCTGGAGAAAATGGTATCATCCATCGTTCAGCATAAACATGTTTGTTCAAGCCCATCTTTCCTCAAAGAAAGAATTATCTACTAAGAGTTCAAATATTTAACGAGTGAAGAAGAAGCTATCACTGACGGAGATGCACATATTTCACAGGGAAATCAGGTAACACTTGCTGTGGTTTCTAAGGGTCCCATTCAGAATACTAGAGTCCCAGACCATTAGCCCAGGACATGAGTGGCCACAGGAAGCCTACAGATGCTCCAGTCACACACACACACACACACACACACACACACACACACACACACCAGCCCCTTACAATAGTGAGTTACCATTGTTATCACCATTCCTGTATTCCATGGCTTCTTTTCATGGATGCTCTTCTTAGGTACTTTAATTAATGGGTTGATGTCAAAGTAATAGAAAATGTAAGAACAATGAGAAGGGAGAACAGAAGGGAAGTGGAAACACCTTGTGCTGGGGTCTGTTCTGTTCCCTCTGAATCCTCCCAGGGCACCCTGTTTCTGGTTCAGCTGGATTCCTCAGGGATGATAAGTTTGTCCACATTAGCCTTGACACTGTTGCAAAGAGAAGAAGAGAAAGAGAAAGGAATCTATGGTCCCAGAAGGCCAAAGAGAGCACAGGCCATAATTTACTCCAAATAAAGTTTCTAAGGACCTACTCTCCCCAACACTGCACAGAACATGGAGATCCCTACACTAAATAAAACACATGGCCTTTGTGGAATAGAGAAACAGAGGCATCCCTACTTGGCATGAGAACTACAATAAAGTACAGGACCTATCCTGCTTGAGGGCATGATGATGCACTGAGATCATCAAGTCCAAAGTCCTAGTGCCTGAAGAGATGTGACAAACTAGACAACCTCTAGAACTGCAACATCCAAAATGGTGGCTATGAGCCACCCAAGATCATTGATCTCTTGAAATGTGACCAGCCCAAATTACAGTGTGCTAAGACTTAGCATGAGTGAGGACGCTAAGGGACAGTACCCAGGCCCTGAGTTCCAAGTATCAGTATGAGCACAGAAAGAAAGAAAGAAGAGAAGGAAGGAAGGAAGGAAGGAAGGAAGGAAGAGGAAAATATTGGGCATTCAAAGGCTAAGACTGTAATTTAACGGTAAAGTGCCTGGCATAGGCCCTGGAAATTTACATGTAAGTATATTTAATTGACTATAACCAAAATATTACTATTTTAACATGTAATTGACATGAAAAATCATTCATGAGGTAGTTGATTTATTTTAAAGTTTTGATAAACATTTACTTTGACCCGCAGGATTTTTTTCTTCATGGTAAGTTTTAAAAATCTGGTGAACACATGTGTAAAGATTCACATTACAGATAATAGTTACAGTATGATTATACTATAAACAACTGGAGTGATCTTAATCTTTATTAAGTATGTTAAAACTGATCTTTGCCAGTGTGTAAAGTGTTTTGATTGAAAATATACTCATATATTGTGATGTGTTCATCTTGTGGCAGCACTGGAATATGAATTCTGGTCCTTAGCCCTCGATAGGCTTGTGCTCTACCACTATAGCCACGAGTCTTGTCCCCAGTCTTTCTTTTTTCTTTCTTTCTTTTTTTTTTTTTTTTTTGGTTTGGGTTATTTTTCAGGTAATACCTCCCTCACATTTTTGTCTGATTCAGCTTCAGACCAGTATCCTCTTCCTCCAGCCTCCATGTAACTGAGATTACAAGTGTGAGCACCTCCTAATACAAGCACCACTGGTTGCAAGGAAAGTGGGGTACATGCATCCCTGGTCCCAGAACACTTGCTCTAACTGGCAAATAAGAACCCAACATGACTAGTTATATTTAAATTTCAGTAAACAACAAATAATTTTTAGTCTAAGTATTGCCCATGCAATATTTTAGGCACACTCATTATTTGTAAATAGTAAGTTGCTATTTACTGTAAAGTAAAATGTCACTTGATTGGCCTGTATTTTAGCTGACAAGTCTCTACTCAAGCACCTGCCTGTGATCATAAGGGTCTTCATACACAACTTTGCATAAGTTAAAGATTGAAACCATCTCTCTTTCTCTCAGAGGAACTGAAAGTAGCATGCTAGGCTTTCTAAAATTATAACTATGGCTCATTTTACAAAACAAGCTGCTAAAGATGAAATTCAGAGCGTTCTCCAATGCCCAGAGACTTGTAGACCTTTGCAGAGATTGCTTTTGGAGAGGTGAGGGTCCAGATTTGGGAGTTATGACTAACCTAGGTTACTGACCTAGGTAGGTTCCCTCTGCAGGGTTGCAGAGTACATGTCTAAAGTGTTTGACATATAATAGATATGCAACAGTAATGTTTGCTTATCAGCATGGTTAGCATGTGATGGGGCTCCATACATGTAAACAGATGAGCACTGTCCAGCACAGGACAGAAAGTGACACATATCCCACCATTCAAGTAGAGAGCTAGTAGCCCTCTGCTTGGCCCCTGACTCAGCACCCTCGAAGTATGTTTAAAACCACACACTCATGGAAACAACCTCAGAGCTTTGGGATCAGAAAGAATACCCAGTCTACCCAGGCATGTGTGGATGTTTACCAAGATACTTAGTAAGTCTATCAGATCCAAATATCAGAGCTCTATCAAGAACTCTTTTTCAAAATGACTGAAGGTAAATATCAAAATATGGCATGGAACCAGGCTCTAGTGGCTCATGCCTGTAATTCTAGCTACTCAGGAGGCTGAAATCTGAGGATTAGGGTTCAAGCCAGTCTGGGCAAGAAAATCCATGAGACTCTTATCTCCAATTAACCCCCAGAAAACAGGAAATGGGGCTGTGGCTCAAAGTGGTAGAGCACTAGCCTTGAGCAAAAGAGCTCAGGGACAATGGCCAGACCCTGAGTACAAACCCCATGACTAACAAAGCAAACAAAAAACACAAAAAGCAAGAATTTTTTATTTGTATTTGTATTATCAAAATTATATATATATATATGGTCACATTGGTAATCCTAGCTACTCAGGAGGTTAAGATCTGAAGGAAGTAGTTTGAAGCCAGTATAGGCAAAAAAGTGCATGAGACTCTTACCGCCAACTAACTAAAAAAACAGCTGGAAATGTACCTGTGGCTCAAAGAGTAGAGCGCTAGCTACCCTTGAGTGAAAAAGCTAAGGATAGTGCCCAAGCCCTGAGTTTAAGCTCTAGGATTGGCACAAAAAAAAAAGAAAGAAAGAAAGAAGGAAGGGAAGGGAAGAAAGAAGAGAGAGAAAGAAAGAGAAAATAGAACAATGAAACCTGCTGAAATTGTTTTAAGAAAGGAGGGAGGAGGAGATTAGGGAGAGTGGTTGGGGGTGAGGTGGATGGAGTATGTTATACAGATAACATGGAAATGTTACAATGAAACCTCCTTTGTATAATTGATGCATGCTACTAAAAATATATAATATTAAAAACATGAACCCTTTTTGCTTAGCTCACCAGAAGTTCTCAGACTTATTAAGAGTCAGAATCCCCTGAAGAGCTCCTTCAAACAGATTGCTTGACTCCACCCAAATCAGAGTTTCTGACTTGGCAGGCAGATGGAACGTGACCATTTGCATGTCAAGCAAGGTCCCCAGAGAGGCTGATGTTTCTGCCTGGGCACAATTTGGGAACTACGGTGGCTCATCAAGAACCCTCTTTTTTGAGGGGGAAAGTTGTGGAAAGGTAAACAGGGCTCATGTATGTAGTCCAGGCTGGCTTCAAGCATGAGCTCTTCCTGGTCTGATTGATCATAGAACTGGATTTAAATATTTCAGGGGATGACCAGAGCTTCTTATAATTCTAATGCTTTTGATTTAGAAAAGGGAAATGCTGTCTCCAATGTGCCCTGGGACCTGAAACACTCCTGCATAGACTGTTGGAACAGAAACCTGTGTTTTAGCAAGCTCCCTGGATGTTTCAGACACACACTAGCCTCTGAGCAATGGCTTGGTGGGTTCCAGCCTCAAGTCTGTTTTAAGAGGGAGGGCTTCTAACACAGTCCATGGGCTAAGCCTCCAGAACTCCAGGTTGGAGGAACACACAGAGATTGCACCACTTAGTATTTCCCATTCATCACATTAGTAGCAAGCATTTTTGTAGAGCCTGCTAGGTTAAAGAAAGTCTTCTATTGGCATAAATCAGTTACCCCTGGAGGAATTACAGAAGCCAAATCTAACAGTGGCAGTCAGGGTGCAGCAGCACGGAACCCACTGTAGTGAACTCCCAGAACTTCAGAGGAGACTGAAGACCAGAGCACATGACACCCTAGGTTTAATTTTGTCCTAGACAGTGGTTACCTCAAGCATTCACAGGCATAATATGCACTTACTATCTCATATGGACAATACAGTATGCATTCCAAAAATGAAGTTTCATAGAGCACAAAAACACACACACACACACACACACACACACACACACACACACACACACACACACACAAAGGATTCTAATAAAGATTCTAGACTACAAGCACAAAGATGGATTCATATCAAGCATTGCCAAGGATTTGGGAAAAATATCTCTCATGTCCTACCAGTGATTAAGGGTGGTAACTTATACCGAACTATTCAAAGGTAACTCGGAAGCCAGGCACCGGTGGCTCACGCCTGTAATCCTAGCTACTCAGGAGGCTGAGAGATCTGAGGATCGCGGTTGAAAGCCAGCCTGGGCAGGAAGGTTCGTGAGACTCTTATCTCCAATAAACTGCTAGAAAACCGGAAGTGGTGCTGTGGCTCAAGCAGTAGAGCATTAGCCTTGAGCTGAAGAGCTAAGGGACAGCACCCAGGCCCAGAGTTCAAGGCCCATGACAGACAAAAAAAAAAAAAGAAAGAAAGAAAGAACATATATATATATATGAATAAGCGTGAAAATATGCAAATATCAGGCATTTGTATAGTGGTTGCTTTAAGGAAGCAAGACGGTTGTGGTTTGGCTATAAAGTTTCCTCCAAGAGGCTCATGTGTTGAAGGCCTTGTCCCCAGCTGGTGGATCCAATATTTTTTGATCTAATCAATGTTTGATCTAATCAGTTATTTTGTGATCCAGTCTGTTTGATCTAATCAATGGATTCATCTCTGATAGATTCGTAATTTGATGGCATCATTGAGAAATGGTGGGAACTTTCAGAGGCCAGGCATATGTACAACAAGGAGATCCCTGGAGATGTCCTTGGGGCTGTACCTCATCCCAAGCCCCTGCTCACTCCCTGCTCTGCCTCCTATGAGCAGCCTCTGCCACATGTATTCACCATCATGAGATTCTGACCCTTAAGCAGCCCAAAGCAAGAGATCTAGCCAATCTTGGAGTGAGACCTTTGAAATCATGAGCAAAAGAAATTCTTCCTCCATTAAGTTGTTTTCTGTAGGCGATTTTCTCATAAGGACAATTTAACACAGAGACTTGTATTTGAGAAAGTAAGGAAGTAAAAGTATACTTGGGGAAGCAGGTTTTACTTTTTCCTGCATACCCTTCTATAATTTTAACATTGTGACAACAATGGCACTACTTTTATTATTTTTTTTTCCAGAACTGGACACTATACCTGTCATCCTAGCTACCTGGAAGGCTGAGATCTGGAGGATCTCAGTTTGAGGCCAACCAAGATGGAAAAAATTATGAGAAAAATTTATGGGATTCCATCTTAATCCACAGATAGGGGAGGTGATGTATATCATCCCATGTTGCATGGGAGGCTAAGATTAGGAAGAAGAGGGTCCAGGCCAGACCAGGCAGAAAACTTCTTGAGATTCCATCTCCAGTGAGTGAGGCTGACTGAGTAGTATGTTCATGTTATCCCAGCAACAACTTGGAGCTTAAAGTAGGCACATCACAGCTTAGACCTGTGCCCTCTCTCAAAAGCAATCAGTAGGGAGTGTGGCTCAAGCAGTAGAGTGCCTGCCTAGCAAACACAGGACCCTGAGTTCAAATCCCAGTGCTGCCAAAAATGTAAAATAACCACCAAAACAGATCTGGAAGCATTGTTCAAGTAGTAGAGCACCAATCTAGCAAGCTTGAGGCTCTGAATCTAAACACCATTTCCAAGGGAAAACTATTAATATTTGGGCTAAGCAAGTGGTTAAAGAGATGGAAGGGAAGGGTTTCCTAGCCTATTTGAAGTCTAGAGTTCAATCCCCAGAACCACAACAAATAAATAAATTCAAGCAAGTGAAAGTGATTTCCTAGCTGGGTGCCAGTGGCTTACATCTATACTCGTAGCCATTCAAGAGGCTGATATTTGAGGATTGACATTCAAAGCCAGACAGGGAAGAAACATCTGAGAGACTGTATCTCTAATGAACCAGTAAAAAAAACCAAACCAAACAAAAAATGGAACTGGAGTCATGGCTCAGGTGAAGCCCTGAGTTCAAGTCCCAGTACTGTCACAGAGAAAGAGAGAGACAGAAAGACAGAGAGAGAGATAGACAGAGACAGAGACAGAGACAGAGAAAGAAAGATTAGAGATAAATTTATTAGAGATAAATTTTCTCTGCATGCGTCTTTCCTTATGTTGGCATTGTAATGGTATTAAATAAAAGGCAGTGGGTTTGGCATGGTACATATGTACTTCAACCATAACTTCATGTGTATATAGACAAGGGAAGGAATATATAGGGAAATACAGTGCACACATAACCTATGACTGTACTCAATCAGTGCATTTGGATCTATAGGATAATAAAACTATGGTCTTAAGAGACTGGGCTCCGTGAGTGTGCTCTGCCGCCCACCCCTAGACACCTGTAGGGAGCTATAGGTACTTGACTCTGGAAAGGTCAGCTTTGTCATGTGCCAGTTCTCTGGTTTAAAATAGAAACTTTGGAGGAAGCCAAGTTCACCCAAGATCACTGCATACCCTGTTCTGGTATGCATTGGGTGGGCGGCAGGGAGGGAGGGAGGGGGGGAGGGAGGTCAGAAAGCCCCTTTGCAGGTGCAGAATTATAGGTATCAAGATTTCATGCTTCCTTTTTGGTGAAATTCTCCAGCCAAGCTTGGCGTGAATGAAGTGGGCGACTTTTCTCCATCACTTCACAAAAGACTTCCAAATTCACTGCGGCAGACAGGGCAAAATAAAAATGTCAAGTACATCCTAGCGGGGAGGGGGTGGTGTAAGGGGGAGACAAGAGGCTCCACGCTCAATGAAAGGTTTGCAGTAATAGGATTCATAAAAAAAAAAAGAAAGAAAGAAAAGGAGGACAGATGGGATTAGAAAATGTTGCAGCGAAGATTGGAACGAGATGAGCTCACAGCCCCAGCCTTTCTTTTGTGGACCTGCACAACAAATGCTCCGAGAGTCAGACTGGGCTAGGAAGCCTCGCCACTAGTGGTCCAGACACAGAGCGCCGCTGCTCGGGCTGGAAGGATGCATCAGATCTACAGCTGCAGCGATGAAAATATAGAAGTTTTCACCACTGTCCTTCCTTCCAAAGGTGAGTACGATTGTCCTTGACGGTCGCCTAGCCTGGCACCTTTTGGGGGAGAGTGCAGACATCACGTGCTGTGGCACAACGGTGACCCCTCAGGCCCCGCATGTCTGATGGCTTTCTCTGTGTTGATGGTCTTTCATTTGTATATTTTAACCCCCTGCCAAGGAGGCACAAGAATGGAGATCAATCACGGCCACAGGGAAAAGCAGGATATTTATGTGCTCCCAGACTCAGCGAATTCAACCCCCGGCTCCCCCCCCCACACACACACAGGCTAAGGGAAAGTGACAACAGGATCCTGATGGAGGAATCAGAGATTCCCCAGGGCAGCCACAGAGATTCTTTTCTGCTTCTCCCGGGAGCAAATGGGATGGGAGAGGAGAAGCAGCTGGCTCTTAAGTATGACCTCTAGCTATGCCGTGAGATGCCTGGAGAGCTGATCCTAGCACTGGCCTGATGTCCAGTGAAGCTGTTCAATAGTGCCCTGACCCCAGGCTGACCTCACCCCAGACCCTCCCCTTCCCCCCTCTCCAAGGGTCACCTGGACCTAGTGCAGCCCAAAAATGCAATCCAACACCTGACTTTATAAGTCCAGGAGTCCCCATAGAGAGGGCTTTGCATGAGGCTGCATTGGTGCAGTGTCCAGTGGCTAGGCAGTCCCCTAGTCCTTCCAAATCTGACCCTTTCTCTTGTTCCCAGTTCAGTCCTGCAGCTCCTGTCTTGCTAGGGGAGCCCTGGCTCAGGCTTAACCCCTGGTCTCATTGTCAGACTTGAATGAAATGGGCTGTTTGCTGGTGTTGTGACTCCACATTCAAACAATTGCTTTCTTCCCTCTGTGTCAGCCACTGACAGGGCCAGTGCTGGGGGGTGAGGGTGGGGGAGGGGGAGGGGGAGACTGAGCCTAGCCACAGAGAAACAGCCAGCAGCACAGAAATTAAGCTGTAGACATCTACTGTCAAGGAGGAGGGAGAGGGGGGTGGGGGGGAGTGTTGGGAGTCTGCCCACGTGTAGGAGTTAAAATTCTCTCTAGAGCTTCTGAAAGTCAAAGCCTCTGAGCCAAGCACTTCCATGCTCAGATAAATACGTATGTGGTGTGTGTGGAGGTCCATGTAAGGTGTACATGGTGGCCTTGACTCTAAGAGGGAAAAATTAAGAATAAGAAACCCAGTAAGCAAGGGATAGGTAAATATGTACCACGGACTCCTCCTGTGTGACGAGCCAGATCACGCACTGTGGTTTTAGTTATTTGTTCACTATTATTGCATCTCAATAATAATAGTAATTAGTTATTATGTATAATAATAATTATTGATAATAATTAGATTATCATTATTAGTTGTTGTTTGTTATTATTTAGTTATTATTATTAGTCTAGGGCTAAGCATAGGCTACAAGGGAGCCATGATCATCAGTATGCCACAGTGAAACCTTCCTAAGAACAACGTCAGCAGTATGGGCAGAGCAGCCTAGTGATTAGAGGGTGTGGTCGTAAGCTGGGTAGGTGATGCATGCCTGTAATGTCAGTCACTCAAAGCCAGCCTGAGCAACATAGCAAAAAGAAAAAAAGAAAAAAAAGTATAGTTTTTGTCCAACCATTAACTGCGTGGCCTCTTCCTTTAGTTCCCATCAATTTACTGGAGTCGATGAAGACCTGTGTCTCCAAATTTCAGTAACAGTGCAAGAGCTGAGACAGTAAGCCATCACCCAGAGACGCTCAAGAGCTTTCTTGAATCTAAATAGTTCACCACATCCTTCTCTCCAGTACACACAGTCTAATATCTACATCTTAAAACAGAACCCTAGCTGGGCACTGGTTGCTCATGTCTATAATCCTAGCTAGTAAGAAGGCTGAGATCTGAATATCGTGGTATGAAGCCAACCCAGGCAAGAAAGTCTGTGAGACTCTTCAGTGAATCACAGAAAAAGCCCAAAGTGGTGCTGTGGCTCAAGTGGTTGAGTGCTAGCCTTGAGCAAAGGAGCTTAGGGACATAACTGAATAAAAATAAAAATAAAACCCTCTTTTTTTTTTTTTTGGTTGGTCATGGGGCTTAAACTCTTGGCCTGGGCATTGTCCCTCAGCTCTTCAGCTCAAGGCAAGAGCTTTACCACCTGAGCCAGAGCGCCACTTCCAATTTTCTGGTAGTTAATTGGTAGTAAGAGGCTCATGGCCTTTCCTGACTGGGCTGGCTTTGAATGGCGATCCTCAGATCTCAGCCTCCTGAGTAGCTAGGATTACAGGCATGAGCCACCCGCATCGGGCTAAACAGAACCCTCTTGAACACTTCAGAATTTGGCAACAGCAAATGTCTAGTTACTTAGACCAAGTCTGTAACTTGAAGGAAAAGATTTTTGTACATATAGTTCTCAGTAAATGCAAAAGATGAAAGCTGTGGTTTTACTAAGAAGGTGTACCAGATGTGATTTCCTGGGGCACACCAGAGTAGATTTGATTGGGGTGAAGAGTATGGCAGCGCTGAAAGCAAGCAGTTCTGGGGAGGGAGGGGAGAGAGCCACAGGGGAGGGAGGGGAGTAGAGTCAGGGAACAGTGGAGGCAGAGGGAAGGGAGTGAGTCCAAGCCCCAGGACCCAGGTGGGCACCTACTCCTTCCTCCTTCCCCCCTCCTGTCACAGGAAAACCTAGTCACCACCTCCAGTTCCTAGGAACTTGCTCTTTGCCACATCTGAGCAAGGGCTTTACCAAGGTTGGTTCACTTAGTCTGTGACACAGGCCTCTGGGGTTAGTGCCATTGTCTTCCCTGCCAGACACAGAGGGAATGTGAGTCATCTGCTCCTCACACAAGGCAAGGGGTCAAGTTCAGATCTTCACCCAAGCAGACAGAATCAGGAACCCTCGCTGTTGGCCAGTGTCCAGTCCTGCAGACTTCACAGAGGCAAGGGCTTTACAACCCTTGCCTGTCATCTGCTAGGAGATAAGAAGACATTTGGGTTCTATCAGGACAGGCATGTATAGGAGTTCCCATTCTAGCAGATCATCTTAGCAGCAGTGTGGAAAATACATGCCTGGAATGTGGAAAATATGGATTGTGGAAAATACATACCTCATTGTGCAATAAAATTGACCACTTTTCCCCACAAAGTGCTATAGAGTCTTTTGTTAATAGTCAATCTTTTGTTGTTGTTTTGTTGCTGTTCGTTTTGGCAGTACTGGGTTTTGAACTCAGAGCCTTGTGCTTGCTGGACAGGTGCTCTACCACGTGAAAGATACCCGCAACTCTATTTGCTTTCACTTATTTTTCAGATAGGGTCTCACTTTTGCCCCACACAAATGGCCTCTGATCACAATTTTCATACTTCCATCTCCCAAATAACTGGGATTTCAGGCCTGTACCACTCATGCCTATCTTGGCTAATTTTTAAGCTGTTTAGTTGTTGTTGTTGTTTAAATTGTGGTAAAATATACACAGAATTCACCAGCCTAACCATTTTAAAGTGCACAGCACAGTGGTATTATGTACATATGCAGTGTTGTAAAATCATCTATCTCCAGAATTTTTTGTTATACTAAACTAAAACTCTACCCAGTAAACTATAATCTGCCCCCATCCCCTAGCCACTAGTAATTACCAGTCTACTTTCTCTCCCTAAGAATTAGACTACTCTATGTGCTTCATGTAAATGGAATAATAATATGTTTATCCTTTTGTGTTTCGTTTATATCACCTACTACATGTTCAAGGTTCTTCCATGTATAGCTTGTATCAGGATTTCATAATCCTTTTCAAGGCAGAGTAATATTCCATTGTATAGATATACCATAATTGTGCATCCATTCACAAGTTGATGAATGTTGTGTTGTTTCTTTAACCCATTGTGAATAATGCTGCTATGAAGTTTGATATCGTTGAGTCAAATAACATCTTCTTTCCCCCCTCTCCCCCTCCCCCACCACCTCCCTACCTCCTTCCAGGTGAAACTCTTTTTGGTGTTTTTAGTGTAGCTATCTGAGCCTCATGGGCAGTCTCTGAACCTTCTTCTTTCTCTCTTTTACAGTGTCCAGTCCAGCCAGGAGACGAGTCAAAAGCTCTCAACACCTCCTAACCAAGAATGTAAGGAAACGTAAATCTGGGTTTTCTTTGACTAATTTTATTACAAAACCAACACCAACTTTTTCATTCTGTCTCCTCATTTCCAGAGACAAGGAGACAATTCTATGAATCTTGTGGCTGTGGCTGTACTCTCAGTCCTCCACTTAACTAAAATAACTGACATATGTCAACTAAACACCGTATAGATTGAGGCAATTCCCCTCCTCTGCTGTTTTCCCCAGGCACAGAGTAAAACTCTCATTGCTTGCATGCTTTTTCTTGTTTAAATGGTCTGTGGTACCCCTGACTTAGGTTTTATCCTATTGATGGCATTGCTAAGGATCATCTTCTCACTACTATAGATAGCACAGTAGTGAACTTATTGGTAGAAAGGCAATTTTTTTATTAATTCCTTTGTACATAGTTCTCAAAGCAGAATCCACAGATTAAAAGAAAAGGTTTGCTGGGCATTGGTGGCTCATGCCTGTAATCCTAGCTACTCAGGAGTCTGAGATCTGAGGATCACAGTTCAAAGCCAGCCTGGGCAGGAAAATCCATGAGATTCTTATCTCCAATTAACCAATGGAAGTGGTGCTGTGGCTCAAGTGGTAGAATGCTCACCTTGAGCTGAAGAGCTGAGGAATAGTGTCCAGGCCCAGAGTTCAAGCCCTACAACTGGCAAAAAGGAAAAAGAAAAGTTTTATTCATCCATCTACCCATTCCACAAATACTTGCATTCCTAACTGAGTGACACTGGCTAGATGTGGCAAATACAGAGTTAATTTTTTAAAAAATCTGTCAGCCACTAGTGGCTAACGTCTATAATTCTAGCAACTCAGGAGGCTAAGATCTGAAGATTGTGGGTTCAAAGCCAGCCCAGGCAAGAAAGTCTGTCAGACTTCTCTCTAATTAATAACAGTAACAATAAAGCCAGAAGTGAAGCTGTGGTTCAAGCAGTACAGTGAGCAAAAAATCTCAGAGACAGTGTCCAGGCCCTGAGCTCAAGCCCCAGGACCAGCACAAAGAAAAGAAAACTCACCAGGCAATAGTGGCTCACACCTATAATCTTAGCTCTTCAGGAGGCAGAGAACCTGGGGAATCAAGGTTCAGAGCTAGCCTGGTAAGAAAAGTCTATGAGACTCTATCTCTAATTAAACAGCAAAATGAAAATGTTGGGCTGGAGGCATGGCTCAAGTTGTAGAGTCCCAGCCAAGCTAGCTGAGCAGCCATCAGGCCCTGAGTTCAAATCCCAGTACTATGGGCAAAAAAGTGGGGGGTGGGGTGGAGAATTCCAGCCACCATTTACCTCAACCTCACCAAAATTGGCTTTTATTTCTTTAGCATTTTGGTACTTTGATACATGCAGCATCTTTAGAGTCTAATACTGCTATGTTTTGTAAGTAGATATTTGTGTAAAAAAAATCTATCAATATATCTTTATTTTAAAGGGGAGACTGAAATTGGTTCCTTTGATATTCTGGAGTCTATTAATCACAATTTGTGTGTGTGTGTGTGTGTGTGTGTGTGTATGCTGGTCCTGGAGCTTGAACCTGAGTGCTGTCTCTGAGCTTTTTCTCTTAAGGCTAGTGCTCTGCCACTTGAGCCACAGCTCCACTTCGGGCATTTTGGTAGTTAATTGGAGATAAGATAGGAAATTTTTATGGAATACCATCTAGGTTTTCTAAATATCTCAAAATTTAAAAGCCTATTCACTATTTATTATTATTATTGTGTTTTTTTTTTGTTTTTTTGTTTTTTTGCCAGTCCTGGGGTTTGAACTCCGGGCCTGGGCACTGTCTCTGAGCCTCTTTGTGCTCAAGGCTAGTGTTCTACCACTTGAGTGACAGCACCACTTCTGGCTTTTTCTGAGTAATTTACTGGAGAAAAAAGTCTCATGGACTTTCCTGCCCAGGCTGATTTCAAACCATGATCCTCATATCTCTGCCTCCTGGATAGCTAGGATTATAGGTGTGAGCCATCAGAACCCTGTGTGTTCTCTCTCCCTCGATAGATAGATAGATAGACAGACAGACAGACAGACAGACAGACAGACAGACAGACAGACAGACAGACAGACAGACAGATAGATAGATAGATAGATAGATA